TTCACGCGAAAGCAGGAGTCCCGGTGTTGAAGAATTGTGTCAAGAGACAGTTGCTGATGTTGAGTAACCTCGTGCAGTAGTTTCGGCCTCTTCCGGCGGCTTCGGTCTCGGTCCGAGGGTGTCGGGGCCGGAAGTACGTCTTGCTGTATGCTATGCCGCTTGAGGGAAGGCGGTGTCCGGAGAGGAGAGGCTGGCTCAGGAGTCGTCGGTCCGGTAGCAACCCGCGTATGGACCCATTCACTGCGCCTGCGAGCCTGGTGGGGCCGATAGGGTCCGGGTCCACCGGTCCGACGTTCGGCGCGTCTACGGTCCAGGTCGTCCGATACACGGATGATTTCCTCGAGGGGCATTCTGAGCTTCGTGTTTCGGAGCTCCGACTCCATGACCCGCTGCGGCCGGGTGGTCCGCCGGGTGCGAGCCGTTGTATCAGTGTGCTGCCGATCTAGCCTCTCCAGAGTTTGGCGGACATCTTCTATCGGAAGGGGAGTTCGTCCTGGTGGAGGCATGATCCGAGTAAAAGTAACACGGACTATTATGTAGAAAGGATGAGACCTTGGATGTAAAAAGAGGAAACACCACCCTCAATCGACGCAGAGGTCGAGAGGGCGAAATAAGGCATTTGCCATCCCATCAATAGACTTTGAGAGAGAGGAGCAGAGACCTGAAGGAAGGGACTAACCCGCTGCGCAGCGGTAGTTTAGGTCCACGGAGTAGAAGCTTTGAAGCTTTCCGTAGGTGGCAACTTCGGAGAGGGTGCCAGAGGGGCGCTTCAAGATTACAACCACTCGAACCATGCGACAGAAATATCGCATGACGTTCAGACCGTCAATAACCGGCATGGAGGTTGCGCTCAAAGATGTTACGCTTGGCAGGTGACCGCATCTCGTAGTCAGCGGCGTCCAGCTGGCGCCAACAGTGTTGGTGTGAGTGGGATAATAAAAAGCAATATACAGAAGGGCTGACGGGCGATGGCATCATGAATCGCTCGAGACCAGAGAAAATTGTGCGGGGTGAAGGTTTTTGGAGCAGACCCTGGACAAAGTTCGGAACTGTTTTCCCGTCGGAATGTGGGGACCATTTGCGTATAAGAAGTCGAGCTCATCTCACGAAAGATCCAGAGATGATTCTGACAGACTACTTTCTCATCAAAACACTGTTGCGTGCCATGCAAGATTCAATCCCTGATGCCTCAAGGTCTAGGTTCCAGTAACGGGCAATCAAGGGCCCGTTTGTCGGGAGCGGCGCCAGGGCAGCCAGCTCTAAGCCCCCTGGGAGTGCAATTCTTCTCCAGCCTCGAAGGCTTAGAGATAGCTTCATCCACCGACCGGCAGCTTATCCGAGGGCACAATCTGATCGGTGCGGTCCGGCTGCAATTCGTCAAGGCGAGCTTCTTTGACGGAGGAGCAGGGGAGCACGGAGAGGTGCTCGATGAGATCGATGGAATCGACGTGCCACTCTCCATGCACGTGTACCCCTTCCCCCAAGCAGATGAGTGGGAAAACCAGTGGTTCTTCTTCGACATCCAGCTCCATCCGTATCAGCTACATTTCCGCCGTAGAGTCGAGGACGGTGAGGAGTCCATTATTGGAGGATGGGAAGACTCATATGCCAAGTTGGCCCAGGTTCGTGGACAGATGTGTGTTCAAGCGTATGTCGATGCCCTGTTTGAAAGCACCAATGTAGCAGAGACACAGGCCCATAAGTCAGAGGTCAGAATACTAACCGACACATCTTTTTAGCATCTCGATAAGGCCTCTCAGGCTTGCCAATGACTGCCTCCCGACCATAGCACCGCGCGCTACCTTCCACGGACCTGTCGACACCACGGCGTTCCGTTTCAAGGCTGGATCGTTGAGTAACAATCAGCTAAAATGCTGCGGCTTCATCCAATGCAGCACCTATCTCGTACCACCCCGTGACAAGGACCCGACATTCAGAGGCGGCCAGATGTTTCACATTCTAGCATACATGCCACACGATCAACAGCCCTGGAAAAGCCGGGTCGATTGGATGAAGGGCTTGCCTGAGGGCGGATTCGCATCTGGGAAGTGGATGTACGGAAGAGGCAGCATCGTTGGTGTCCTGAACCCGGCACTGTTACAGGAGGAGCTTCAACCTGGGCAAGATATCCTAGTTGTGCTCGTAGATGAGTTCAGCTTCACATCGAAGGCGACGCTCGAGGGCGCTACTGTGATGAGGAAGGCGTCCTCTCCACAGAAAGCAAAAGTCGACCTGGCAAAAAGACGAAACCCTTTCAGCAGCAGTCCGGACAACTCGCCACCCAAGCGCGCAAAAGATCCTTCTTCGACCAGGGGCATGAATGGTACAGGGAAAGAAATCAGGGACGGTGCATATATGCCTGTCGACCTGCGGCTCCAACAGGAACTAGCGGGCCATGAGAGGGATTCAATCTTGGTAGCAGGTTAGCATTCGACATGTCACCGCAAAGCGTTTTGCGGAGTAGAGCTAAGCACCAGACTAATACAGAAACGGAGACTTCACAGAGTCCGAGCCAATGAGACAAGATACATTCGCACCACCAGCCGAACGGGAAGGGCAACTCATGAAGCTACCACCGGAGGGCACCACGTACTCTTCTTTTCACGAAATGAGACAAGAGCTCGTTGAGTTCGCCAGATCACAAAGCTACGGTATTCGTATCTGTCGATCATTCCAAAAATTCTCAAGAATCACAGGAGACCCGGTCGCGAAGAAGAGAATGGTTTGGCAGTGTAACCGTGGAGGGAAGGGAGACTGTCCATTTTCATTCAACGCCGTGGAGGTCAAAATAGGAAGCGACCGGTGGGAAATAAGATATAAGAAGAACGAAAGCCAGCATGTTCATAACCATGGACCAAGCGGTGGATTTGTCATATGCCCTGAGCGAAAAGTGCGGAAATGATGCACGAAGAATTGACTCCTGTAAGACCATGATTTGGTGTCGGCATGAAAATCACAGCTCTTGTCCTCAATCGCTGGTTTTTTTTTTTCTTTCTTTATGTGTCACATGACCAGGTTCAAGTAGACGTATCAAGTAACGGGTCCTTGGTTAGCAAAAAAGGAAGAAAAAAAAATCGGCAAACGTCACTAAGAATGTCGTAGGACAAACCAATGTCTTGCTGACTCGATTACCCTGTATCTCTTTAAGTGGCAGAAGGCAACAAAACGGTCAAGACAGGGATATCAGGCCAATTAGATGAATTAATTCAGCCAATACAGGATCAGCTTGTATACAAAAGACCAATAACCAATAAGAATAAGTATAAAAAGCTAATAGCCAGTTAAAGTCAGGAAAAAAAGAGGCTATACTCTTATAGAAGTAGCTAAGCTACAAAGAAGTACAGGCTCTAATAGCTGCCTTTACATATAAAGCCTTTGTAGCCTTCTGGTACGTGGGGTCAAGTGGGTCAAGTGACCTTTTGTTGCCTTGTGCCACTCAAAGAAGAGATACACATCCAGCTGGGGCCCCAGTTTTTTCCCCAGGTTTTTTTTTTTTTTTCGGTGGTTGTTGTTGTTTGATTCCTGTGGCGCGAAGGTGATTGTGGCGCAGAAATTGTGGTGAAGCTGGCTAGCACGGACCACTCCGCGATCCGTGCTCGGGTAAGCAGGGCGAGGAAGAAAGAACCTTTTCGTTCCTCAAAGGCATTTCCGCTACTAGTAGCGGTATGGATTACAAGGCTTACAGGATCTTGATCATACTGCGCTACTAGTAGACACAAGCTTACATGTAAGCTGGCCTCTACTAGTAACACAGTATAATCAAGATTTTATGACCATGACTACGCTACTAGTGGAAGCAAGTAATCATGTAACTTGTGTCTACTGGTAGCGGAAGTTTAATGAATATCAATAATCGTCAATCTTCGCTACTAGTAGCTCTTGAGTCATACGAGATTATTGATTATCTCCATAAATGGAAATTTCGTGACTATTCTACTAGTAGAGGAAGCTTAAAGGTGATTGCTTATAGGTGACTGCTTACGGAAGTAGTAGGGGGGTAAAGATGGCGGTTATAGAGGTCAGAATTTTTACTAGAGCGTGAGTGCCGCTACTAGTAGTCGAGGCGTAATGAGGCAGAGTATTTTATGCCTTTGAGGAACGAAAAGGTTCTTTCTTCCGCGCCCTCCTTTCGTAAACTCGGGCCACCAAACGGTTCGTGCGATCAGCCACAGACCTCGCGCCACCAAATCAGCCTCCGTAATTAGCCCCCTTCTATACCACAACCCATGCGCCATTCTTTCGCGCTGTTGAGCCACAATTTGTACGCCTCGCCAGGGTTGCCAAGGTTCATGAAATCCAGTGAACGCCATGGCTTTGCGGTGGCGTCACGTGAGTCAGGGGCTCCCGGCTCGCTAAGGTCTGACCGTGGCGGCCGGGATAAGCCGCGCTACGATGTCATCACACGTATCAATTCGAGTCTTGAAACAGGCGCCACGGTGCCATCACACGTATCAGTTCGAGTCTTTATCCCATTTTGATCGTCTGCGGGGTAGCCCTACCTACGTCAGCTGGACCTCTTTGCTCACCAGATGTGATATCCGACCAGCTGTCAGACAGCGCGCCCTCACTAGGTCACTGATGATGAAAGATGATATTGGGATGATCTTGAGTGTATTGATGAGGTTCCTTGTGTTCGTCCTCCTTGTTCTTCGTTCTCCCTCGTTGTCTTTGTATCTGAGGGGGGAAGGCCAAGATACTAGACCTGCTGATCCTGCAACAGATCTGTAACGCTGTTCTGACAATTAAGGTATCATGGGGTTACATCTTCCCTTGAGGTGGCTGCCTGTGTAACATCATCATGCATGCCACTTCTCCAACACCAGCACGGCCCAGCGCCGTGCCTCAGTCTGTCATTCTTCAGCCAGGGTACCACCGGCCTGGACATCCTCCGGGTGGGCATCCATGCCACGGGTGCAGAGGTTGCGATCCTGAAGCGGCATGGGCCACACTTTGCGCAGTTGCCAGCTCCAGGAAACTGCCGCTGTGATAGAAAGAGCTACAACAGTGCATTGACCCTTCCCTCGTGCCTCTCTTGGGCTCTCAAGGCTAGTTTCTTCGACGATGGACACGTTTATTTATTTCTCCCGTTTGGCCCTCTATTGGTCTGGCACATGGCGCCCTTTTCTCTACCTATTCTTTTTCGCTCTTCACACAAGCAGATCCGGCTGTTTTGTTTGTTTTCGCCTTCAGTTTGCTGGCTTATTTCACGGACGGGTTTACTTTTAGTCTCTAAACACAACTACCTAGTACGTATCAGCCACCATAATACGCAATGCCGCCGATTCGAAAAGTCAAGAACAACAAGAACAACGCATTCCCAGGTGCTCAAGCTCCTACTAATAATCGCCCAAAGAGGACGCTCCATCCCAAAGGTGTGAAAGATGCCCACTTTAGAAGTAGTGATCGTGACTGGGATGGCAAGTATGAGCAAGTCATCGGGACGTCCACTCGAAACATCGTCTTCGGCAGTGAGTTTTTGTTGACCGAGTAAGTAAGCTTCCCATGGCCCAGGTAATTTATGCTGACCTCGCCTTTTTCAAGCGATCATATTGACGACATCTTAGCCTTGGGAAGTCCAGTTTGCGAAAAGATCGTGCAATTTATATTTGAATATGAGGACGTGGGTTATGGGGCACGGAATAATGCAGAGTCTCTGACAAACGAGGCGGTTGTCCGTCTGGGAAAGTCATGCCCCAACTTGAAGAAAGTTCAGCTCCAAGCTACGTGTCGCGTCACTGACGACGGTCTACTCAGCTTCTTCGAGAACTGCCCCAATCTAACTTCGGTGGAGCTTACCGGCACTTCTCGTGGTAGTAGGGATAAACTTTCTGGACAGGCGCTTGACCAATTGCGCGAGCACCAGGAGTGGGCTCCCAAGTTGAAGAAGCTGATCCTTGGTGAAGATGAACGCAACAAGTTGTTCATGAATGCTATGCGCTCTTTGACCAAAGAAAGGCCAGGGCTGACAGTTACTTTGCTTCAACGGCATGAAGTTAAGAAGTGGGGAGACTGGGAGTTGGAAGAAACGAAGATGGTGTACAAGAAGGGGCGCCTGGCGTGGTAGGAAGGATCCATCCTCACGCAATCCCTCTACTCTCATTCTTGGTCTGTATTCTGGATAGCATTAATTGAATCAATGATAATTTCCCAAGCTTGTTCCGCTATTGCTACATTGAACGACCCGGTATTTCCCGAAGAGTCGTATGAGGTACCTAGTTTTACTGTTCTTCTGGCCATGGTTTTCTCCCGCATCGATGGTACTAGGCGGGCCCAGAGAATCAATCTCATCGTTTGCCTTGGCCGAGCCGCGAATTCCGTCCCGAAAGAGGTGGCAGGCATACCAAATTCAAACCGTCCGGGCCTCCTTCAGCAGCTCCTCCAACCTCGCAATGCTCTTTGGCAGATATCCCTTCACACCATACGCACTAAGATAATCTCTCTCCTCAAGCAAATCACTCAACGTAACCTTGACCCAGTCCTCTGTCTTCTCCCTACGCTCCCTTCTGGCCTGTCGCCTATTCTTCTCCCACGCCAGCTTCTGGCGGTACATCTGACCGCGTTGCTGCTTGTTCGGCCTCCCAGTCTTGAACACGCCCACATCCGCATCCTTCAACGTCCACCGCTTGGGGATCTCCGGCAACCCATCTGCCAGGCAGGCAGGTTTCTCCCGCGCCTCAATCAGCGGCAAAAGTGCCTCATCCAGCAGTTTGAATGTCGGGATGCTGCTGTCGCACGGGGTGCCGCACATCTTCCACGTGGCGTCGAGGTCAGTGTGTGACGCATCAGCCATGCTGAGCAGTAGATTGAACGCCAGTGTGGTGTCCATGGCGACTAACTTCTTGATGGCGCCCTGTGCTTGCGGGCGGAGGTGGCATAATTGGCGCTTGTGATCGCCGAACTGTTGCCACTCATGACCTTGACTTTCTTGTCCAGCTCGTCGACGCGCTTGTCGAGGGCTTTGAGGGCGTCAGCGTAGATTTTTTCCGCATCCTTACTGGCGCTGGGGACTGTGGTTTTGGGTTTGGTGGAGCTAGCGGTCCTGGCAGCCTTCTTAGGACGAATGGGCGGATCATTTGCTTCATCGAAATCTTGAGTTTTCCCGCTGTCTTTGACGTCGCGCTTACGTTTAGCCGAGACTGAAGGCATGAACCGACTGGCAGTGCGTGCTCGTGGAGCCATATGTGTACCGTATAGAGAACAATGTTTATAGGAGAGTGATCACGATGGGAAAATACGCGTGCACTTTAACGCGTCGACGCCACTAAGAGAGGGGGTGATTAAGGTTAAGGTGGAGGACGCGAGCCGAATATTAACCTTAATCCGTGTCCTAAACTCGGGTAGCAACCCCTGCAGCCGCAAGGCGGGCGTCTTATTTCTCAAGTTCTCAGCTCGTTCCGAAAAGACATAGGCGGACCCCGTAGGGGACCGGTCTCCTGTATAATAGATAGAAAGAAGCTACATACATACGGTACCACCATACTACAGTGCCTTGAGGAACTTGTTCCGAAAGGTTCTTTCTTCCGCGCCCTCCTTCGTAAACTCAGGCCACTAAACGGTCCGTGCTCAACGCCTTCACCACACCTTTTGCGCCCTGATCAGGATTTCTGCGCCACATTAAGCCACAACTCAAGCCACGCATGTCCTCGACTCTGAGGCGAAAGGGTGACGAGCTGCAAGCACATCTCTTTTCAGATCGCCCCGAGGTTTATACGAGGCAGTCTTAAGAGATGGTGAGTACTTAGAATGATATCGGACAGGTGGCATAATCTGTTGCGCGGGTTCTACCCGAAAATGTGTAAATTGGCCATGTTTTGGGGCATAATTACAGAGGCAGCCGTCAAAAGTTTTGTCCAGAAGCTAAACGCACTAGTAGCCACGGCCCCTATCGGTACCTCAAGATACAAAGAGCTTTTCCAATTTAGCAGGCTTACTACTATAATATAGTGGCCAATCTCAATTACAGTGATTGAGTACCTGGTAATATCGCGTAACTTATAGGGACTTTAGGGGTCAGAAGATCTGCATTGATGTACCGAAGTACCCTGCTAGCTTCTGATTGGTTGTAAGCCCGGCTTGCTTATGTCATCAGGACAAGACTTTTGGGGCCCAATAGGCACACGGGTACCCGTGGCTCCAAAATTTCACGGGTACCCGTGGGCATTATGTAAGCGTAGATAAATAACACTACTTTACAACACAACTACAACGAGAATTAGCTATAGGGCTAAATACAATGCTTGCTGCTCCTCAATATCCTTCTCACATACTCTCTAAATCTCTCCTGGCCCTCGTCTGCCCGAAAAAGGTTATACTACTATCTCATCGGCTACTTAGGCATCAAGACGGTCGTTCTCTGACTTATCCCAGTCAAGATAGGCCATTATCTCTTCTTTAGTCCATTCCCTAGAGCCTATTGGCGTCTTACAGCACTTAGTCATTTGCTTCCAGTTGAGGCACCAGTTGTAGTCGGCTTTACTATACCGTAAAGGTAGGCCTATCGCCTTCCGATACTGTTGGTTAGTCTTGATACTGCCGGGCGGCTGCGCCTTATACCAAGCTTTTCTTACTGCAGTATATCTCTAGTAGATAGCTTGTAGGTCATCATACTGAAGTGCCCGCGCTACTGCTGCTACTGGTAACTCTACTGCTGCCGGCCCCTTTGCTGTTGCCGATAACGGTGCTGTTGTTGAAGTATCAGCTGTTGCTAGGGGAGCAGCTATCGCTGCTAACGTTTCTGTTGCTGTCGGTGCTTCTATTTCTGCTTATTATAAAAGCTCTGCGTGCTGCAGAGGGCATGACTTTAAGGTTATTCTATAACCTATCGCGTGGCACATACTGCATTTAGGCTGCGCCCTTGGTTGTATTGCTGCCTTAACTGCCTCGAAAGCACTAGGCTCCCGCCGAATGCTTAATTGTAGATTGGCTGAATTATTAGCTATTCGATCAATAGATTAATAAGGCTCAAGCAGTAGTTGAGGACTCCTAGTGCGACTAAGATGCTAATGTCTATAGAAGTGTTCTAGATAAAGGGGTTGATCCTGCTCTTGTAGCGCCTTGAGTATATGGGCACAAGGGAGACCGTAAGATCGAGAGAATGTGCCGGTACAGGTAGGTAGGTCTTCTTTCAAGAGCAGTTTCCATTGCTCTTCAACCTTACGTAAAGCCTCATAGGATACCCAGCCACATATAGCACTATACAAAACCCCAGAGAGCTCAATCGGCATACGCAATTGCTGCTTGGCTTGGTTAGATTATAGCTCAGCCAGTTGATTAAGCAATACATGCTTTATAGCCCTCCAAGCCTTAAAAAGATCTAACGTAGACTTCTTCAGGTGGCTCTTCAGGAGCCCATGAATACCTTCGACCCGCGAGGTAACTACATTACCAAAATGAGGGTACTGATCAACCCAAGCCTTAATAAGCTTTTCCTTATAGAGATCGAGCCAATTAGTCTTAATATACCCAACTTCGTCGAGATATCGCGGTAGGTAGCGCTCCTCGAGCTCTTTTACGCGCTAATCAAAGGTTTCTTCATCTATTGATCTTATGATCGAATGCCAGCAATTAAAAAACTCATTCCAATCGTTAAGACCCTCCCGATAGGCTCCTAACCCCTGAACATGGCGTATAAAGGTTGGCTGGCAGTAGCGGAGGACCGCCTTATTAGCATGCCAAAGGCATAAAAGTGAGATTGCAGCTAGAAAGCAGCGAGCCACAGCATTCATACAAGCCAGGCACCGGTCTGTGAGGATCACAGACAGGAGGGTTACACCGCAAAGTTCGTACATTAATCGAAGCCGGTCCAAGGCCCAAGTATAATCCTCCTCATTCTCGCCGCTCAAGAATGCAAAGGCGATACAGAAGGATCGCTAGCAAGCATTAACCACAATTATATCGAGGAGCGGCATTCCATATTTATTCGTCTTATATATGCAATCCAAGAAGAGCAGGTCTGGATAAGCCTTAAGGTATACTAATGACTCTAGATAGGCGAATAATACTGCTATAACTCGGTCATATAAATCAAGCTGCATCCGGTTCCAGAACCCTTCCTTATCCAGCTGGTTAGCAAAAGCGTGTATAGTGCTCTGGCCCTCACAGAGCTCTCGCTTACTATCTGCGATACGATTATACATATCTTGCTGGGTTGTAATGGTATTTAAGTTCTGGCGGATATAAGTTCTGATATCCTTTAGCGCTATCCCAGCATTTATGAGGCTACTGATTGTTGTTCTATCTATATCGGACAGTATGCGATGCATTAGATAAGCAGACTGGTGCCAGCTTGGCTCATGGTTATGAATAGCGAATCGGCTATCTGGACGATGCCTTAAAGTCCATATAGCCTTATCAAGGCTTTGCTTTGCAAGTACGGAGAACTGGCAGTTAGTGCCTCGGGTGCTTGTCTTCCGTCTCCGTTCTATTGATGCATCTGGAGGGCGACAGGCTCGGTCACAAGTGAATGTAACCGTAACCCTCCCAGTCTTCTCTTTATGGGATCTTCCAGTAACAAAGGCATAGCCCCGTGGTGCTGCCCAGCTATTGATCGCCTTAAATAAGGCATCTCGGGATGTGTACTCGCATTCAGGAGGGAGATAATCATCTGGAAATCGAGCGGCCGCTCCAATTGGCTCCATATTGTAATATGGTACCATGTAATATATAGATTTCCAAAAGTAGCGCAGGGACTGAGGAGGAGCTTGAAGCAGGCACGCGACGTGTTCGCGTTGACCAGGGGGCCAATAGGTGCGCACCTGGGTGCGCATGGAAGTTTTTTTACGTTTTCTGTAATAACCTAATAATTTATTTATATTAAATTATAAAAACTTTATATAGGATATATATTAATATAATAAATATGCTAGTTATTTTATATTTTGTATTATTCTATTTTTTAAATTTTATCCTAATTATTTAAACTAGAATAAGAGTATTGGCGCACCAGGTGTGCCAATTTAATAAATAATAACTAAGTGTAAGTTTAAATAGCTTATAACTATTTAAGCTTTTAATAGAGAGTAATAAAAGTAAATTATATTTATAAATATAATATAATAGGTATAATAGAAATTTTTCTATAATTTAATATAAATAAATTATTAGGTTATTACAGAAAACGTAAAAAAACTTCCATACGCACCCAGGTGCGCACCTATTGGGCCCCCGTTGACCATCCACGCTTACATAATTCCCACGGGTACCCGTGTGCCTATTGGGCCCCAAGACTTTTGACGGCTGCCTCTGTAGATGCCCCGCATTTTTGTGACCAACTTCAAGGTGGAGCCTCGAAGTTGGCGCGGATCACACCCTACACCAACGGGTAACCTGTTCCCACTTCTGCCCATTTTCCAGCATTTAAGGCCGGCTGAGCAAATCAGAATACCAGATTAAGCGCTAACAGTATGGGGTAGACCCCGGCGAGACGGCGAAACCGCAAGACGGCTGGGCATAATCGTACGTGTTGCAAGGCGCAGAGCTGTGATTGGGCTGCAGCAGGTGTGCCTTTAGCGCCCAGTCACGGAGAAAGCGCTTCATGAGCCAATCAATATTTGCAGACAGCGCCTCCACCACCATATGCTTATTGAGTGCGAAAGCTCCCAACGAGATAAAGAGACAATTAGCACGGAATACGAAAAAAGCAATAACCATTTTCACTTCATTTCAATTTTTCCTTCTCTTGTTTCCTCTCCCCGCCATCTTAGCAGCCCTCAACCTAGCGCATCAAGAAGGAAACTACCTCACATCACCTCAATAATGCTCTGTTCAAAGTGCAAGGGTTGCCTCCAGACGGAAGCTTGCCTGACCACTGCCCAGGCATGTCACTCTTTAGCACATCACCAGACGTACCAGAGTCTGGAGCAAGCTATTGACGCGGGATGTTATATCTGCAATCGTTTCTGGGAGGCCCTGAGTGCCCAAGAGCATGTGCTTCTCTCTAGCACTGTGGGCGAAGGAGTAGAGCCATCAGGTGCATATTGCGCCATTGAATCAGTTCAACACTATCTCACAAGTACTTCTCTGGATGATGGGAAGTCTTATGGTCACCCTGGCTGCTACCTTCTACAGGTTGCATACAACAAGCCTGCCATCACAACCTGCTTCAGAGCGAGCTTTCTTCTTGAACCCGTCGAGTGTCAGTGGCTGCGCACCTCTCCTAGAATTGACTCCAAAGCTAATGACACCGTAGGTGCAAATACAAACCTCGCACGTCAGAGCCTCGCCCAAAGCACACAATCCCCAGAGACATTATCTTTGGCCAAGGATTGGGTCAGAGAATGTACCGCGCATCATGAACGATGCAAAACGCCCGTCGGCGAGAAGCCATGGTACCCGACACGCCTGCTCTCCTTCGACCTCCCTGAGGCATCAATAGTCCGCTTGCTGGAGACGGATCAAACAACTCCTGTTGGACAATACATGACACTCACTCATCGCTGGGGACCTGTTGACCATATAATATTAACGAAAGAAACATATCCACAGCTGCTCGAAGGCCTTCCCTTATCTACCCTACCCCAACTCTTCCGGGATGCCGTTTCTATCTGTCGCCATTTGGGCGTAGGATATATTTGGATTGATTCCCTCTGCATCTTCCAGGGCAAGGATAACATTGGAGATTGGCAGCATGAGGCTTCGCTTATGAAGAATGTGTACTCAAATTCATTTTGCAACATCTCGGCGGCCGACACCCCCAATTGTTCTCAGTCGATTTTCAACAGCAGAGATCCCCGTTTGCTTAACCCCCAAGTGGTAGAGCTGACCCTGTGTGGGGAGGGCAGCGCAAAGATCACAGAGAGTTTTGTCCTTTCAGATTATAGGTTCTGGAAATCGGAGGTCTCAAACGCCCTTGTGAACAAAAGAGGTTGGGTTCTTCAGGAGCGCTTCCTAGCCCCTCGCATCCTTCACTTTAGCAGGCGACAACTCATCTGGGAGTGCTGCGAGAAAGACGCTGCGGAAGTCTATCCTGATGGTCTGCCGCTTGCCCTCTCGACATCCTCGGACGCGAGATTTAAACAGATGGATTCATCCGACTATACTGGTCGAGTGGGCCGGTACAAGTACCGCGAGGCTGACGGTAATTCCGCTCCTCATTTGCTGTGGCTTCGCATTGTGGAACTGTATACAGCTTCTGCGCTCACAGTTCCCAGCGATAAGCTCATTGCGTGTTCCGGTATTGCCAAAAGGGTGGCCGAGATCGTGCAGGACGATTACGTCGCTGGTATGTGGCGTCGGTATCTAGAAGGCGAACTGCTGTGGATGGTACAGGGCAATCATCAGCCCGGACGTTGGACGCGACCTAGAGAATATCGTGCTCCCAGTTGGTCTTGGGCTTCAATTGATGGCCCGATCACTCCCGGCGAGCCACGAATTCAAGATTCGTTGATTACGGTTGAAGACTACCACCTTGATTACTGGACAAGCGATAAGACTGCTGCAATTCGTGGTGGTTGGCTACGCCTTCGTGGAGTCCTCAAGAAGACAACTTTAGCACGCAAAAGCTCTACGCCGGGCGGAGGCTACCATTGGGACATGATGTTAGATAATGAAAGGGTCAATGTCCTGGAGGAGGCATCGCCGGGCAACACTGAGCCGCGAGTGATGCTTGATATTCTCCAGGAAGACTTTAAGGAAGAAAACACCAAAGGATTGTTGTTCTCTATGTGTGCTAGGTCGAAAACTGGGGATGGAAGAGGTATGTACATACTGCTGTTCAAGATGGTTGAAGGAGAGACGGGAACCTTTCGCCGTATCGGCCTTGCCTATGCCTGGAGTGAGAAGGTGAAGGAAAGGATCCTAGCGAGTAGCGCGAGAGAGCCGCAATTACCATGTCTTGAGTATCGAGATGGATTGCATTCTATATGCATCATCTAGAGCACGTTAAGGCATGAGGCACGGAAATACTAAGATATCTCATGCCTGCGATGAAGTGCCAGTACATCACACGAGAGCCAATCAAAGCCTTCGATTACAGTGCTTGCAGAGGGCCTGATTTCAAACAACATGAGGAATCTTTTCATAGAAAACTTAGAGTCAATCTACGATGTTTGGGTGGCCATGCTACAAAAGTCCACATTGCCGTCCAGTATGGCATCCAATGACCCGCGCATCAGCCTTGTACTTCAGGACTTGGCAGAAGAATCTGAGAACACAGATGTGGCGCTTTCGAGACTCGCCTCGGTTCAATTGGTACGGTGAATTCTTTACAAAGCCGGATAAAATCCGACCGTCGAAGTGGCAGGGTCGTCCTCGGAAAGAGGGCTGACAGCATCGCGATGGACATGTTTGTCAGCGCTCTCAGTTCGGCTCAAGGAAGGACCGTCGCTCGACGTCAGGCATTTTGGCGTCGGAGTATTCACAGGTGGCGGGCGAGTCTCGCAAGGAATGCACCACTTCTCATTATTACTCACACTGCAAAAGCAGAGCGGATTATGTAGGTAGCCGCCCCGAACAAAAAGAAAAATCAAATTATAATTAATTCACGCCTCACAAGTCGAGATTTGAACGTGTCCAACAAGACTTTGGATGAACTTGCAGCCGAAATTTACGGCAGGTACCCTGCAGAACTCATCCAGGCTGCAGAATACATGACGCGGGTTGGAGAGTCAGGGAAAGAGATTGATGCCGCAGAAAAGAGGGTCCACTTAGAAAAGCTAAAGGTCTTGGCTCGGTCCGTTCCTGGCATGAGTTCGGAGTTAGCCATGCATAACCTGGATGTGGAGTCACCAGTTGTGGGGAAGTAAGTCACAATCGGCGATTACGTTGGCGTGATTGCATATACTGCACCACCCTTTGGCTCCAGAACTAGCCGACGTATCCTTGAACGAGATCTCGCTAAAAGCCATTAGCCACAAGCTTTGACCAAAAGTAAATCAGACTCACAAACAGCAATAATTGCTGAAAAGTCCAAAGAATTAGAAAAAAGCAGGAGGTTTGTGTCTGAGAACAGAGCAGTGACCAAATTTCTTAAAAATACAGCCCTTAATATAGGTCATAAACGGTCCCCAAACGGGAGAATGTATCTAAACAATATCTTGTCTAAGCGCGCGGCAAGTAAGCGATGTTAACTTCGCGAGATGAAACCATACTTTGGGGATGTCCCACCATCCTCAGTCTCCATAATTAGGCGCCCGGGATATTCTCCCGGGTTATCCTTCGCTCCCACAAATCAAACATCGGAATGTACGCAAGGTGCCTTCACCTCTTAAGCAAAGAAAAGTGTCGCAGGCCGGGCATGGTCTCAACGAGCCTCAAGAACAGCCCTTAGTAATCAAGCTGGGTGATTTAAAATAAAACCTGTGGGATGGAATACCCCACACAGAAGATAGAACCAATCAACTCACTACTGCTGCTCATTCTGAATGACCCGACCTTCAATCCATTTTAAGCACATCCAGTGCGACAAAAAGCCAGGTGTTTCCACCGCCATCCACTCCGTGGAGACCACGAGCTCTCGGCTGTCAGGACCTTACGAAATGGTCGATCGCTGAATCCTACTTTCGAGGCCTGCAAACTGATGGGTGCCTTTTTTATCACGGAAGATTACTCCGGAGGCTTGTTTTACTATATTCTGCATCTCTGCTTTGAGGCGCAGTGCTCATGGTACGCAATTTCTCGGCTATTCTGCTCTTATCGTCCACCTAGTAAGTACCAAGACAGGCAGTATATTTATGCATTATCAGATCAAAGCAATACTAAATACGCCTTATATATACCAGTACAATATAGAGATATTCTTAAATTGTATTAAGAGGCAACTTGGAATACAGAAGGATAGTATACTTAAGTCAAAAGACCTCAGTGGCAGTATAACTACGGCCAAATCGGAGGTAATATTTAGAGGGATTGAGCCGGAGACCATTATTGAGACCTGTTTGTCTGGTAAGATCAACTTTAAGGTATTATTAGAGGGTGTAAGTATAACTGGAGCTGGAGCACTGGGTCTGTTTCGAGTAAAGACAGCGCTCGGAAGGGATGCGCATCTTGACTAGAAATAGATACGTGAGATGCAGAAAGAGGAGAAGGATATCTGAAGAAACTGGGCCTGTTTATCTTATTGCCATCTACCTATGACAACCACGCATAGCTCTATCAGTGTTCTAAAATTAACTGGCGTGTGGAATCGAGGGAGGATTTGTGGGCGCTTGGCTAACCAGTAATCAGCCCGGTTGAAGCGCGGCCACTCCCTTCCAGGGAAGTTAGTAGGGATGTAGCACCCCATTAGTAGGGGAAGCGCTGTCTGCTTCCACCCTTCTTGTTGTTTCCGCTACCTTATCCCGTCTACAAAAATCCTCATTCCCTTTCGATCATAAATTCTCCATGCAAACTTCCCAGTCGACCTTACGAACCGGATTTGGCCGCGAAATGTCCCGTAACATGAGTCTAGATGTTGATTATCGACGTGAATACGATGCACTGGAGCATGCCCTGGCTGAGCAAGCTGTCGGTACCCGCCTCTGCAGCGACTGCCAGGCTGCAAACGTACTAGACCTATTTAAGCCATTTGGATCCGGTGCCCAACCCCCTCATCCCCGCAAAGTCCTCCGGTTCGACTCCACGACGGATCTCACCCTTAGGAGTACTTGTCCTTTCTGCCGATTTTTGTGGAGGGTCATTCGTGACGGAAACAAGAACTGCTGCGCTGCCACTTGCCAGTCGGTCATCCACACCCTCCAGGATGGACAATCGATGACCAGGGATTCGAAATCAACCGAAGAAAAACTTCAGATTGAACTCTGGCTGCCGCAGGAGTGGGAATTGGGCTGGATCCGAACACGAATCAATGGTCAGAATGTCGATCGTCACATCTCCTTTGGCGGAATTCAATTCGTTCACCCCAAGTACGCAGATTACCAGCGAATCAAAGCGTGGTTGGAAACGTGCCGAGAGAGACACCAATCTTGTAACGAGCAGCAATCAATCTCGAGTCGCGGCTTGCATGGGCTTTCACGGTCATGTCTAAGGTTGATCGATGTCAAGTCCCGCTTAATTGTGCAAACGCTGCATTGCGTACCCTTCGTCACTCTCTCCTATGTCTGGGGAGAGGCGGCCTCACGCACCTTTAAGGAAAAAGCGCTGGTATCCGAGTCGTATCATGTGAGCGACAACGTATGTCTAATGGATAGACAGCCAATTGCTCTTCTCGAAGGAAACCTTCCTCAAACTTTTGAGGACGCTATCGGTTTCACAAAGCGTCTAGGAGAGCGATACATCTGGATTGACGCTTTGTGCATTCCTCAAGATGAACCTGGCATTAAAGCACAGCAAATCTCGCAGATGGATCAGATTTACTCCAGCAGTATCTGTACCATAGTTTCGCTCGAGTCAGGCGTCGAGGGAGGATTGCCAGGGTCCAGCTACAAATCCCCAAGAAATGTCGACCAATATCTCGAACAGTTACCTGGAGGCTTAAAAATAGCTAGCCCATTAATGAGCCTCAGGCTGCTCATGGAAGGATCTCCCTGGGAAACACGAGCTTGGACGATGCAGGAGCATTTGCTTTCCAGAAGAACATTGTTTTTTGGCAAGCAACAGGTCTTTTTCATTTGCGGCGAGATGACGACGAAAGAAAGTTGGGCCCAACCCCATACTAAGGCATACGACCTTGATGCTGATCTCGAATCTCTTGATGAATGGGCGGAGTATTGTCTCCCACTACCAACAGCGACCCCACGACACAGTTTGCAGCAATCATACCAGACCTGTGCCAGTCTTTACTCTCATCGCAACCTCACTTTCCCTAGCGACCGCTTCCGGGCGTTTGAGGGCTTACAAGCTCGATTGTCCAAACTATACCAAGTCGAGTTTATCCATGCTATGCCGATCGGCGATGTGAACTTCCTTGGAGCGCTGCTCTGGAGGCACTCATCCATGAATCCTACTCTAATGCGCGACTTGAATTCTCCTTCATCAACTCTCCGTCGATGGCCTCACTGGACCTGGCTCAGCCATCCTGGAGGAGTCGACTACGATCCATTCCTCTCCTGGAGTCATCGCCGAAGCTATGCGAAGTACCTCAAGCTTCCTCGCCCCAAGGCATGGTATCAAGGACTAAATGGGCAGTTCTACTCATTTATGAGCATGCCAACGTTGGACAATAGCGATAGAAGTTCCCCTTTAAGCTCTGTTGCCGATATGGCAACCGTACGAGTGCTTAAATTATCCGGACTGGCCTTGGACATTGATATTACGAAATGGTGTCGGCGTCAAGGAAGGTATCCATCATTGGAGGTGTGGCGCAACCCTAATTTCTCCACCGCTCGGGGCTCAATCAGCTTCCATATAGGAATGGTGGTTGATGATCAGCGAGACGGTAAGTGTAACCTCCCAGAAGGGACTCGGTACATTCGCCTTCTGCGCCTCAACCCAAGGGACCGACCAAAAATGCCCTGGTCTTTAATCCGGAATAAGTCACATCAGGTCCTTAAGCCACAGGCTACTCTAAATGATAGCAGCCAGCTTGTTCTCACCACAAACGAAAACGGGCCAAGAGCAGAGACAGAATTCTCGTCTGCTCTAGACTGGATCAGCCGCAGCGATGGTTTAGACGAGATAGAAGCGGACTCTGCTCTCCTCGTTGTGGGGGTCACCCCCCCTGAGATTGTTACCAGAAGGCTCGGCATTGCATATGTTAGAATGATGGACTTCTTAGTTGCCGGTGCTGTAGTGAAGGAAGTACTCTTGGGAGACTAGATGCCTGCATCTGGGTTATTGACCTTGACAACACGCGACTTGACGCTCTAGCAGCTGTTCTGCATCCCAAGGGCTTCAGCACACACAAAGTTCGCTCGACTAAGAACCCGTGGGTAGAGCTTAGAGGAGGCCATTGCACTGTCAACGACTGCGGCACAACTGGTTGCAATTTTGGATGGATTGAACTTGATCAGTCTGATTGCGATCATCTAGCTGGCACAGCACAAAGCCATGATAGAAAGGTTCTTGAAAACAACAGCAGGCAAGGTGAAGGAGGAAGGAAGAGGTAGAAAAGGGATTGGTCGGAAACTTTATAGTTCTATGGGTTTGCAAGAAAGTATGTCTCGACTCCGTGGCCCAATACTGTAGCACCTGAGCAAAGGCTCATAAAGTACGGTACAGTAGTCAACACTCAGTTTGCCTTCTTGAAACGTTTCTATCCTTAGTCAGCATATTGACTCGCTGCTAGTACATGCAGTAGCAGACAGAGGTGGTATGAAGTAAGAGATCGTAAAGTAGATATTGTACCGTACAGTACAGTCCTAGCAGCAGGAAGTCAACAAGGTAAGGAAGAGTATTTGCTTACCCTCATAAGCTTTCTTCTGCTAGCAGCAGCGTTAGATTACCGATTATCCAGTAGCGGAGGCGTAATGAAGCAAGAAGAATTACTTTTTGGCTACTAGTAGCGAGATTAATAGGCATCCTTGATTATTCCCATAAACTTTTATCTACTCGTAGAAGGGCCAGATTGATTATCTCCGTAGGGTTACAAGGGAGTCAATACCAGGCTTATATTCGCTACTAGTAGCTCTTGGGTCATGTAAGACTAATGGTTATCCCGTAAGCATTCTTCTACTAGTAGAAGGAAGCCTCTGGGTGTAATGAAAATTTTATAACTACAGGAATATTTGATTATCCTTATAAACTTCCATCTGCTAGTAGCAGAACCAGATTACCCATTACCCTGCAACCCTTTTTAGGAATTAAGATAACGGCTTACGTGGGTCAGCACATTGGCTGGCTGCTAGTAGCAGACGTGTCACGTAATAAAGCAGATGGCATTACTATTTGGCTACTAGTAGCAAGATAAGGACGTAAGCGAATCAGCCTAGGTCTACTACTAGTAGAGGGAAGCTTATGGGTGCTGCGAGGGGATAATGAGAATGGATTATGGAGCGAGGAGTAGCAGAGGCGTGACCAAGGTAATCAATACAGTAAGCAGCTTTGAGTTCTTCCCTTGTAGCACGGAAAGGTTACAGTATTAGTAATCCCCTAATCGAAATCATTAAGAACTACTTCGTCCACTTCGCTGACTTGATCTGTGGCCAGCAGCTACTTTCAAACCATCTACGACCGGACATAGGTAACAACGATCGCAACCGATGCTGCAACAATTTGCGCGAATGCAAAAGCAGTCCCCCAATCTCCCCCTACACCCCTCCAGAGTACTAGGTTGAGCCAAATGGAGGCAATCCCAAACCAAGCACATGAGCCTCTGAACGGCAATTCTATATGCATTCGGTCGGTCTGCCATCCTAAAATGAAGCGTATGCCTCTCATCCAAGCTGTTCCCTGGAACTTTTGATATGGAAGAGGCATTGCAACTTGGCTTGAACCCCTAAGGAAGTCAGAATATAATTTTTCGAAGGGGAAAGGATGAAATAAGACGCTATACATATTTGATGTCGTAGATGCAGCTCTCTTGCGCTAAACCTTCTAGTGTATACAGCCCATTGGCTCTTGCTGGGTCTCGGGCACACTCCTTCAGATGAGACAGGAACAGAAGCCGCTTACGACGCTGCTCTGCCTCCTCTGCTTCAACCTTGATATAAGGCTGGGACCATTCCTGCATACCAATCAGGCATTGTTCACTATGCTGAGAGTCGTTTAAGCATGTATCGTTGAGATCGAAGTACGGATCGGTCGGATGCCTTGCTATTATCTTTTCACATTCTTCTGACATTCTTGAGGTCGATTGAGTTCATGCGGATGGGACAACGACCATCCGGCTCGACAACACCGGCAAATTGAAACTATGTTTTTAATATTGTCAAATCTCAGACTCATCACGGGTAAATTCGTATTGACTAACAGCAGGGCGCTCAGCAATTATCCATGGTTGATAGTGGAATTAGCAATCTGCTGTATGTAAGCTAACCCCTCACTTCACAGGTATTGTAGATGCGGGGAACCAGGGATGACGAAACAGAACAGAGGAGAGACGTTTTTCAAACGAGTGGGGTTGTTCAAAAGCCGAACCCACCTCTGGCTTTGCGCAGGGGTTTGTTTATGAACCCCTGCATGACCAGGGAGCAGCTTTCAGTACCGTCTCCACTCAGCTAATTGAGACTGCCTTTGAGCCTAACATCCACCGATGTTGTAAGCTGCAGACTATAATTGGCTTGGACTCAAACCTCGTGTTGAAGGCCTCTGTTCCCTCTTCAAACTTGACGATACGCCATGACAACTCTATTGCGTCTCCCGGCAGAGATCACTGAGCTCATCTTTGCCGAGCTCCCACCAAGCGATCTTTTACGTCTCCGACAAGCATGCAGGGAGGCAAACGCGAGGACGATTCATATCGTCGGCCCGAAGCTCTTCCAGAAGGGCAATGTTACACTTGAACGTCAAAGTCTTCAGTGCCTCTCCAACGTATCCAAATGTCACCACCTTGCTAGTTCTATCCGAACGTTGAATATTTGCACCTATCAACATCTATCCTTCGGGGACATTCAACATACTGCGTCGCCTTTTGACTGGTACATGCAAGCCATAGATCTCCAGAGGGAACTCGAGGATCTAAAACAGCTGCTCCTTGGGGGACGAGACATCGAGGCTCTGGCGCAGATTCTAAGACGCCTTACTAGTTGCAAACGTATTAACATTTATCAAAGCGACCAGCCTTCCGATATGAGAAATCTGGATTGCGGCTTGAATATCTGGTCCCCGACAGCGTTTATAAATCAATCAAGCAAGGGTTTAGGGTCTGTTTGTGATATCTTTCACGTTGTCTTGGCTGCTGTAGTAAGCAGCGGATTGGATATCGAGATTCTTGACTTCACTTGTCCTAAGCTATTGATGGGGGGGTCTACTCCCGTCATGCACGAAATGTTCGCGGGGCTCCCTTCTGCTATCTCTGAACGACCTGGCCTTGAAAGCCTTAGAGATCTCCGCATTCTCATTGACCTAACTAAGGACATATCGACAGGTTGGGTGTCTGAATTTGTTCATTTCATGGGCTTATTTCCTCAACTTGTAGACCTTCAGCTCCACTTTCAGCCTCAGCTTCGATTTGATCGTGAAAGTTGTAAGGAATTTGCGACACTTTGGTCAACTCTCTATATTCCTAATCTAGAAAAGCTTGACCTCGGTTCGATCGACTGCACCGGCTCGGACTTAAGCCTTTTCATCCTCCGTCATCGTACAACACTTCGGGAAATTCATCTTGAAACAATAAACCTAATTGATGGAACCAATGGTTGGCATCTGATAATTGAAATTCTTATGTGTATGTTTGACGCGGTCTCTTTTGCCATGGTGGAGTGTCTGAGTGCAGGAAGAGAATTGCAGTATTTGAGCGATGACGGTGAAGACTTTGACGTCCTTGAAGCCACGAGCCCCGCAGGCTTAGGGGACATTGCACTGTCACTGCGCCGAGCAATTTGATGGTCTTATCTCATCCCTACAACAGATCAATTGTGTGTATGGCTATACCACGATCACGAGTATTGTATATTATAGTACATATATCGCCAAATTTTAGACCTTTTATTGATTTTAACTTGTATGCTCCAGAAATCTAACGGGAAGAATGTTTAACGGCCCGTCTGGTAAGTAATCGCAGACGAAATGTGAAGTGGACAATCATGAATTAGTCTACACCTAAACCGTAGAATTGGTCCTATTGAATCTAGCATGGGGGAGATATTGTTGACGATAGTTATATTCTACGCTTGTCTGATATCTGTTGGTTAAGAATTTCTATTTTATAGAGGCTAATTGAAAACTTGGGATTGATTTGCGTCAAATAACTTATTGTAAGACTATCTTTCATAGCTTTTCCGGCCAGCAGAACAGGTCAACATATGAATCACTTGAAGCTATGCAGAATGTCTCGTGGTCCAGAATCTCGTGCTTGCGAATTGTTCGGCCGCCAGGTGTGAAAAACATGAGTGGCCAACCAGGTTTTACGTATACTTTCAATTTCATCTTAAGCCAACCGCCGAGGTGGAGGGCTAGCATAAGATGGATCGGCCAGAGTTTCGGCTGACACGGATGGCTGCCAGCACGATAGGCACCAGGGGCTGGCAAGAGGTAGCGTGTTATCACGAAATATATAGGTGGGTCAGCATGAGAAGATAGACAGACACAATAGCTGGCCGATACGGGTTCTGGCCAGCAGATTAATGCTGGCTAACTGGCCAGAGTTGCTGCCGGCACGGATGGTTGCCGGCACGAGTGGGCGTCAGTGGTCAGCACAGGGTGGCGTGCCGGCAGGGCTACGTAAGTGGGCTGGCATGAGGAGATAGACCGATACGGACTTGTGCCGGCATTGAACATGCCGATCTTGTGTTATCGCTTTGATGGCAGGACCTGTGCCTGTCTCCAGGGTAACCATAACAGTACTCCCCCTGGTTCCAACCAGTCTACCCCTTGTACAGCCCGAGATGGAGCGGTACAAATTTTATACCAGTCGCATCGGAATGATCCATTTCCTCAGACTAGTCCACAAATTAAGGTTAACTAGTACATCCTCTATACTAGTCTTAACTAACTACCCGACTGGTCGACTCATACTGTCATGCACTACGACCAGGATGTAGAGGTCCGTGTACTAATTCTATACTACCAGTATACCATTCCAACCGTTCCAAAAATTTTCACCTACCAATCCATCCTAACAGGTACGTCATCACTACCGGTCCCACAATCTTCCTCTATTAGGACTTCTTAAATGGTCGGTTCTTACTGGTCTACTCCTTGCTTACAACAGGTATTCGATTTTCGGTCCGCATCACACTTTAGTCCCGGACCCTGGTAATGACGGACCAGTCCCATCTTCGCGCAGTCAAGCAGATAAGCTAGGGGAATGGCTCCCCTTAGGGCTGCTCCACCCTCGATCGCCTAAGCTATTGGTCATCTTTGGTACTCGTCCATCTGTACCAACAGTAGGACGTTCAGGTACGGCCTGCTGCCCAAACTGGGACATGCCTTGTACCGGTAGGGCTAGACTGATTATCCCTCCAAGGCCCAATCCACAGATTTATCAATCACCAACCATTACTGGCTCTCCACATCGGGGTCCTGCTGAGCCTCATTCTTCTCCACTCCATCGCTACACCCGCGGCAATCCATGGTTTGGCAACGAAGCGGGTTAGGGTTTAATTATTCCCAGTCAAAGTTTGATATAATATCTAACTTCCGGCTTTGCAGCACATGCTGAGAAAAGTAAACAGGACGATACTGGTGAAGCAGGCAAGTAGGTGTTTCTGCGATGAAAGAAATGACGGTGATTGTTATCGCTTTGAATATTCTAGAGAGAAAGGGGGATAATAGGCGCTAAGCATACTATATTGGCTTGTTTAATTGTTAGAGTCTCGCTTGGCGTGAATCTGGCAGACACTTCATTTCCAAGTTGACGAGCTCAACAAGACATGAGCCGTAATATGCAACCTCAGCAAAGCTTTGTGCCACACTATTGTTTCTTGTGGCAGTACATCGCTTGCATCGCAGATCATTTGTTTCTACTAGAAACGCGGGCTTTCTCTTCTCTTCCTCTTGTAGCCTCCTCTCCTTCTCTTCCTCCTGCAGCCATCTCTCCTTCTCTGTCTCTCGCAGTCTTCTCTTCTCTTCCATCAACATCTTCTCGCTTAAACTGAGGCGATCCTCCCTAGAGAGGGCTAAAAAGCCCTGGAACTGTCCGTTGATCATATCGTCTCGGATCAAACTGTCTGAGGTCGAGAACAAAGCGTCTTCCTTAACCTTACTAAGTAATTGTGCTTATGATGTCACGGCCTCAGGGTAGCTCACCATTGTGATATAAGACAGGTTTGGAAAGGTTGGCTTTTCGCTAATATAGAATACTTGGTCCTCACGTTCATGGAGGTGGGTGCCAGCCCTGTTATACCAAGCCAGATGACAAGGCCCGCGTGCTATTCAACCAGGCTGTCACATCAAAACCAACATTGTCACATTCAAAGGTCCATGCAGCCACCCGAAAAGTCACAATTTAAACCCTGTCGAAGCCGCTGCCTTTCCAGCTAACATTGCAGTGCCTTCAGTCACCGCCAGTTGTCTTTTTCTTGAGTTGCTGGTGGAAACAAGGATACCGTAAAGATACAAAGACTGCAGATGCAATCCCTGCAGCTATATTCATGCCGCTGCCTCGCTCAAGTGACGTGGTATCGGTACAGAACAACAAGGCAGGTTACTCATTGGTTGAAGAACCCCGTCAGAGTATGGAGGAGTTGTTAAGGGCGATTGCTCACTACGACACCCAGGCAGCCCATCGTCAAGGCACCCCGCTTCAGTTGTTGGGCTACGCCTTTGTCTGGTTCGTACATCACAAAGCTGAGGGTCGACGTAAAGAATTCAACGGCAATTTGCGACCTTAGGGGCCCGAATTACAGCTCATCACTGACTCAACCCCATCAACAAACTATTTGAGGAGGCCATTTTACCTTGGCTGGCTGTGGCCATGAATGCCAGCTTCACTCGCTATGATCCTGGCTTCTGCGCTGTCACAACAACAAGATGGAACATGGCATGAACCTCCCTGCGTTTAGCTGCCTTCCGAACCTCCGCTTTCACAACCTCCACCTCCTTCTGTGACCAACCTAAATGATCTCTGAAAGGCTTCGCTGTGAAGGCATCAACGCCGCTGGTGAAGTTCATGCTCAAGCAAGCCCCGATCTCTTTCAATCTCCTGTCCTTGGGCCACAGGCCTACAGGAAACTTGAACCTTTGCTCCGTAATGTTGTGGAAGCCAGCCTCCCATACCCAGTTCTTGAACTCAGGAGCAGGATCTAGCGTGCGGCCGATCTTGTCGTGGACTTTTTTGAGGTTATCCATCAACCCCACGAGAGCATTGTTCGGCTCCAGAGTTCCGTCGTCTGAGTAAAGCGTGTTGATAGTTTCCTGAAACTCCACCCACCCACCAGGATTTAGGTGATCGTAAAGTCGGCGTACGAGCGCCGGCCATGTAGCGACAGTGGATGTAGTCGTAATGCTTAGGCTCGTCCCAGTCTTCCTCAACATCGTCAACGTAGAATTGAACATTGGGTGGCACCCACCCAGGCTGGATAGGACTGAGATCAACGCCGACGACAGTTGCCTGAGGGTTCTCGTCTGCAAATTCAATGGCCCATAGGCCGGTGCCGGTACCAATATCGAGGACTCTAAGATCAGAGCTGTCCAGGTTTATGGGTGCGAGAAAAAGCTTATCCTGAAGCACGAGTCTGAAGGCGTGGTGAACCAGGTCGAGGCGATCTTGCACCTGCCCGTCGTTTGGGTAGTTATATGACCCTTGGTGGTAGCTGTGGTAGGTTCGCCCGTGTTTCTGCTCGTACCTAAGTATATAGCTGTCTATGGAGGCGGTCACCACTGAAAACTCATCGCCGTACCTCGATTCGTTCTCATAATCGTCAACTTCAACCTCGGCGGCTGCTGACATTGGTGCAAGCTATGGAGCACTGAAGGATGGTGTTGGAAGGGACAATTTGGCCAAAGAAATGTCAGGGCGAATCAAGGCGAACTGCGCCAAAGATAGCTGATGAGGCAACAGACTGCCTGATGCAACCTTTAAGCTCTTTCTCAAGTACCTCTTGCTCATCATTACGGCTGAATGATGGACCGCGTCATCTGATTTCCCTATATGCCGAATGAGGCTCCTACCGTTGTCTCTGAGTGCGGTCGGCTTACAATGAGCAGCTTACATGCATACTACCCACCATGTAAACCTGGTCCCACTCCACTTCGCGGAAGTGAGCCGTGTTAGATCCCTGCTCAGACCCCACCAAGAATCCTGTCAAGTGACAGGATTTGATCCCCCTGAATCTTGCCAGTTGACAGGATTTAACCCCCCGGAATCCTGTGACTTGACAGGATTTGGCCCCCTTGAATCCCGTCAAATGGCGAGATTCAACCCCCCTGAATCCTGTCGAGGAACAAGATTTGCCTCCCGGTCGGACTCGAGCTCACTCTTTCACTTTTCGTACTCATCATGGCTACCCAAGCCCAATCCTCTAGTAGCTGTTCTGCTGTTCTCACAGTCACTGTTGAAGGCACTCAGCTTGACATCAGAGCAGCCTCGAGAGAACAGCCCGATGCTCTCCGCACGGCACTGATCAAGGCCCTGGGTTTGGTAAAGCTCTCTCCTTCAGACTTTACTCTCCTTCAGCTTCAGGAGAAATTCCGCGTCTCTCTCGAAGGCGCGCGATCGAGAACACCGGATCGCCTGTCCGCAGTCGTCTATTCATGCAAACGAGGCACCATTCAAGAGACACTATGGGAGGCCCAGGTCTGGCGCTACGGCGGGACGCAGCTTGTCGATGCTGTTCACAGTGCCATCGGTAGTGTCTCTCTAGATGGTAAGCAATCCTCCGACACCATGGCGCTTCATCTATTAGAAGTCGGGGGACAACCTGCTGTCACTGCTTTCCACCTCATGAACTGCCCTGCGAACCTGGAAGAGTTTGGGAAGGTGAAGGACAAGTTCTTTGCCTACGGCGGCACATTCGCGCTGGCAGCATGTGCCGTTGCGATATCTGACAATGTCCAAGTCATGGCCTTACTTGAGGGGTTGCCGCCAAACCACAAGAGGGAATTGGTCGCGCATCTGTTCTGCGTGAGGCCACACAGTGATTTCTTCTGCATCGTCCAGGTCGTCTTCACATCAAAGGAACGCCCACAAACGAAGAGATGCCGTATCGGACCTGCCCCCCGCAAACCCAGGAATCGAGACGGAGAACGAGCCGCCACCACGATAGAGGAGGACGAGCAGCCGTGCAAGAGACGAGCAAGGAGGCCCTTGACGCAGCACGCCACTGACATGGCTTGCCAGCATGTGCTACCCCAAACTTCACCGACGGCCAGGCGTGAGAATCCCAACGAACCGGCAACCGTTGGTGACTCTTCGCCATCATACTCGCATGGAGCCGGAGGAACGGGCAGTTGCCAGACCTTTAGCAAGAGGATAGATCCTGCAGGTTCTTGTTCCGGTGATGGTAAGACCCTTTTGGTGTCCCCTCCTCTCCACCCCCGGCAGGCTTTCAAGGGTTAGGAAGTATTCGAGCTGACTTGGACACGGCAGACATGCTTCTAGACAGTAACAGCGATCCCTTCGGATATTACGGTATTGAACTGGACTCGATCGACTTCTCTACACCTTCTTTGTGAATGTTGCCAAGAAAAACACCACTTCTTCAGCGCCGACCTCAATGCGGGCAGGCCCATCGATCTCCTGTTTGTCTCCCGGTCTGGTCAAGATACCGTTGAAGTAGAAGGCGGATGGTCCTCGTTGAGAGATGAGTATGATGTTGCCGGGGAACGTTTCGCGTGGCGTGGGCTCGAGGGTACCGACGAATGGGCCGCGACACCGAAAGACAAAGGCTATCTTTCCAGTCGTCTACCAGAGCGACTCATCAGCAATATGAACGATCGCGCACTCGATACTCAAGTTCAGAGCTCACCTCGATTCTGCTGGCCTTTATCAAGCCAATGATCCTCTCCCTTCGACCTGGGTGTTTGCACTGCTCTACGGTGCTGCCTTGATACGACGCCCAATCGTTGTCGCCCAGCCCAACAAGCCAGCCTGCGAGGTTGCCTGCTTGCTCCAGAGGGTCGTCGCTATAGGTACCGGCACTCATGGGGTCTAGAACGTCAGCTTGCTCGTGGATTAGCGCTCTCTATTTGGCATGTGCTACCTACACTTGAATGATGACCGGAGGTCGAAATTCTATGCCTTTTTACCACGCTGAACCCCCCGCACATTTCACCGACATCCAACCTTCAATCACTTATGGTGGGCACTAAAGCCGTAGATTACCCGGTGGCTTTTTATGAGGGTGGGGGGACGGACTGGGAGGGACTGTATAACCGTGGCATTGCCAGATTGGGGGTTTGAGGGGCTTCAACGGTGAAGTGGGGAACGAAGTCGCTACCACGCCAGCACATTCAATTTCACGAGTTCCAAGAGTAATAAATTTATAATATGTTGCTAGGCTTATGGGGAAGTAGGCGCTGATAAATGCCATCGTTTCATGCTACTGCGTGTTTCGGCCCAGTCAACCAGAGAGATAGCATCGTATTCCACCTTGAACGCATAGATAATTGTCTTGGGAAAATTGTCTCGGCTAGTGGGACGACGGGCTATCGGTGCGATTTCAGTAGTTCATAGAGATCGCCGTCTTAGTTATGCTATGCTTTGGCGGATCGAGGAAGGAGTGCGGTGGTAAGGAGATGGAGTCAAGATGAAAGACGTGGCACGATGATTCCGCTCGCGGCGCGTCTTTGCTTGTGGGGGTGCGGATAGTCACGTTGCTAAGGCTGAGGCTGAGGCTGAGGCTGAGGCTAGTGGCTTCCAACCGCGACTGATGGGGTTGCTCTGGAGCCGCTCAAGTTTATGTGGAGGAATGCGCATTAGAAAGGAAATCCCGGGCTAAACATCGGTAAAGAGAAAAGTAGCCTTTTCGATGAGGTGCCAAGTCTAGGCCTAAGGCAGAAAAATGGTCTAATCCCGTTTCATCCGCTCCGACATAATAAAGGCGCCTAGGCTGTCCAATCAATCGTCAAAGAATTTTCTATAATTAGGTACACTCGAAATGACGCGGCCACTTTGATCACTTGCGCAATTGTCTTTCCGCTAACCTAAGAGCATGATACAAGAAACAGGAGAGCAAAGCCAGTTTCTAGATGTCTGATGAAGCCACCACAACAGAGGACAACGACATTGGTCTAATAACCGCCGCAAGCTTGGGGGTATGATCTCCCCTAATAAGAGCTAGCGAGTAGATGTAAGGTTTTTGGCATAACGCTATGACCCCAAGTCGCAATGCCACCTTCCTTGTACCTGGCATCGAGAGATCCTTAAACGAGAAACAAAAAACGGCATTGACTTGCTCCCAGGAACATAGTTCATCAAACACGTAAACAGCATTACTTTCTTCCTGGGAACAACAGATGCACTAATTGTGTAAACAGTATCGATTTGTTCCCAGGAATGTTAAGCAACACTGAAAGTAGTTACTACTTGTTCCTGGGAGCTACGCAACACTGAAAGTAGTTACTACTTGTTCCTGGGAGCTACGCAACACTGAAAGTAGTTACTACTTGTTCCTGGGAGCCACCAAACATGTAAACAGCATCAATTCGTTTCCAGGAACAATACAAGGGTTGTCAAACAAGTAAACAGCAATGTCTTGGTCCTGGGAACAGCCCAAGGTCTTGTGAAACATGTAACAGCATCGAATTATTCCCAGGAACATAATGAGTCACCAAATACGTAAACAACATCAATTTGTACCCAGGAACAAGACATTAATTAAGAAAACAGAATCAAGGGCTCTGTTTCTTGGAACATAAGCTCACCAACAGAGGATACAGCTCTTGTTTGTAGTAGAATGTGAATGTTTTACCAAGATTTTCGTTTATGTCCTCAGGTGTCGATGACGTAAACGTTCTCCTGTGTTGGGCGGGGCATACTTGATCCTTGCCCGATACTCGCCATTTCAAGGCCAAGCTTTACATGGAGATCCCCCCTTCTCCACATTCAGGCATGACTCTGGACAGGACCCAAGAGCGAGGCAACGCTCTTTTGCGTTGCTTGAAACAGTTCGTTATCAGCTATCCTTACTGAGGCACTCCCTAAACGCTCACAGACTCTTGCAATAAATTATAAACAACTGCATAGTGACACCTCATGCTAGCGCATTTGCCCTGCTTATCTACTTGCTCTTTGATGTTGAACTGTCGAACATCCCGCCCCTTTTGTGGTTTTTCAGGCGTGCATGTCACGCCTTCGCCAACACCGAGCGACTACCTGTGTAGGCCTACAGCAGACACGCTAAAATTGTGGAATTAACCGCTCCAGATGGCGAATCAAATAGAGACTGCTAAATTTATCTAGGTACTCCCAGGCATTGTAGCGACAAAAGTCGCCAGCTCTTGGTGACCCATAGATGAAACATTCACTGCTTAGATTGCCGGGCATCATCGCATCTAAGATCAAGTATAATTTATTGCGTTATTCCTCTCCAGACTCCGCCTCAGAGCCTCCTCTAGGCTCTGATAATGGGTTCCCTATTAGCACCAGCCATTCTGGGCTACATTCCTGCCGCTGCTCCCGTCCCTTCACTGACCTTTGACTGTTCCTTTGGCGTGCAACATCCGCGGCTGTCGCTAGCACAGGCAAAGGGAAGCTTTCATTCTGTCACACTTTATTAGTCACAGTAAGCATATTGTGTCAGTGAGACTGACTTTTTCCTCGTCAGACAGCGGTAACGCTTTGTCAGTAGACTTAAACTCATACTTTTCGCCCTTGCGACGTATACAGACATATACTTCGGCGTCATAAACCTGGTGGATATTGAGGCCGTTATTCTTGAGTGTGCTCCATTTTTTCTTGAAGTTCTCATTACTCCGGTCTCTCTTTCTCACGCGCATGTTCTCAATGACCGCCATTGTTATCGCGACGAGAGAAAGTTGATAGAACAATCAGCTAGGGACAGGATACATATAGCAATCCTTCTCTGGTCCATTTCCAGCAACCGCAGGGATGATAATTTTGCTTTCGAGTTTTGTGTATTTAGGAAGCTGTTTTTGGCTCCCCTGCGATGATGCTGGCCAGTGATCTGCTTCTTGTTTTAGGGTAGATGCACGCCCCGCCAGAGGAGTGCATTTCGACAACATGAGAAAATGCCATAATCGGGTTCATAGCTAAGTACACACCATCGGGGCGCTATATATAGGTCATCTTTGTAAAAAGGACTGGTTTTGGCTCCTCGCTCTGCTTTGTGCACGGCATGGAAGCCGTTCTTAGCCTCTTGTTGTCCTATGCTGTTGTGCACCTTGAAACAAAGCGCAGCTGTGACAAACCTTGCCATAGGGGCACAGGACAACTACAGGCTTTAATTCCCAACAAGGCGACGCAGGCCACGTTATTCAACCTGGGACACAAACAAAATAAAATAAAAAAGAATAGGAATATTACACTGGTAGAATTGCGCCAGTGGGACATATTATTAATATTTAACCCTTGGCTGGCGTATATCGTGTAGCTGCACGCCAGAAATAAGGCACCAGCGTTTAATCTAACCCAGCCCCTGTATCCAGGTACAGGTGCGCTGGGGCTCTGGTGTTAGCCCCTATGCTCTGGCACGTATGCACTAGCACACATGTGCTAGTGCATATAAACTGGCGCAAACATGCCTGGGCGTCCTAACTACCAGCACAGATGCGGTGGCTCATAGGGCGCCCTGGTGCATACAGTACAGCCCGCGACCTACGCCAGTCCGTTTGTACGAGCGCATGTCGTAGGCTGGCGCAGATGAGCTTTCCCATTTCCCTTCCTCAACATGCCAAGGTTTAGAGCTCAACCTAGATACTTACCATTTCGTTATAATAGGCCGCAGCGCAAAGCAGACAGCTTGAGGTTGCACGAAAGGTTAGCGTCCCTGATGCCTCAGGCGTTTCCTAAGGCTCCCTTTGTAGGAACTCTATAGATGAAAGAAATCATGTACAACTATGGTGTGGATTAACTCTAGATTCAAGAGGCACCGTGACAGTAGCGGGTTATATTAAATAGGTAGACTTTTTGGCAGGAGGGCCATATTGAAAATTAAGGACAGGCTCTGGTGACGAAATATCTTAAGCTAGGTCTTTTCGATATCCGCGTATGAACCTCATCGGCGATATCTCCTTGCGAGGGGTTTTACGAAAGGTTCGAGCAGACCTCACTAGCGATTATTCCCTAAAAAGGATTGCCCGAAAACCTGGAGCAGACGCTGTCAGCGGAAGCTCCGAACTAAGGATTCTTCATTACCCTAGAGTAGACCCCGTAGGCGAAAATTTGCTGGTAAGGTTTTCTCGATACCCTCGGCAAAACTCCGCCGTCGAAATTTCCTCGCTGTCGAAATTTCCTTGCTGGAGATTCTTCGCTTTTCTCGTGCAGACTTTATCGGCGAAATTTCCGAGACGAGGATCCTTCGACGTTTTCGGCGGAACGCTTTTCTAGGGACCTAATTCTGGCCTGTCGCCAGGAATGGCCAGGGACGAAACAGGCGGGGACCGCCAACCCAATTCTGACAAAAGTAGATCTCTTCTCCCAGAAGGTGGCCATCTTAACAGATTATCTAGTCTCCTACACCACGCTCAGATAGTGTACAAGGGTATGAGTACTTACTTCAATACTCGTCATATAACAGCAGCCCAAGAATCAAGCCTTGAACGGAAAGGCTATTTTAGGATTGACCAGAAGGTCCTGCATGTAGAAACACCCCGCGATCGATGTGCCGTATCTTGAGTTGCTCTGGCCAGATTAGCTCAGGAACCACTCTTTAGGCCACGGAATTGACCGTCAATCCGACTACAACACAACAGGCCCCAGTTTTAGGGCCTCGCAGTATACCAACCCAGGTTATGAGATAGTACATTGTGTCCTGGACCAGCTTTTAGGATAGCACATAATATCATAGCACAGCCCCTGGCATGGTACGTTCAGTATCATAGTACACTCAGCATCATAGTATATGCATTATTACAGCGCATTCATTATCGCAGCATGTTTGATGTCCCAGAACACGCCCATTAGACCCTGACCCTATTGTGTCAGGCTCGCTCGCAAGGACTGCGCCTCAATAGCGAAAACGTCCTTCTCATGCTTTCTTGGCGCCCATTTCCTCTTCCGATTTCTACCATTGACGTTGATGGGCCCAAGAGGTTGTCGGTCATGGAACTCCGCCAGCATCAAATCCACGATCATACATCTCCCAGTGCGTTTATCGTAGAGCACGTTGCGTGGCTCTGCATCGTGGTGGAGGACTCCATGCTGATGCAATCGACCGAGTGCGGCGAGAATCTCGTTGGCGATGTCTGCATTGACGCTTCCCAAACCTTTCAAGACTGGTCGCCCGCCGTAGCTGAGGAACATGAAGTCTTCATACACGCCGCTATCGTAGTAATAGGGCTTGATAAGGTGCACAACACCGAGACAAACCGGAACAAACTTCCCCTGGAGGTCCTGAAGATGACTGTATATCTTGTTTTCGTAGCGTAGATGCTTGGTATCCATGGCCTCTACTCCTTTCGCCACAAGTGTGTAGCCATGGGACGAGAGACGGAATTTGAAGAGGGATCCCCGTGATCCAGATAGGTAGAGTGGCACGCAATCAGCATCCTTTCCACGATCAACTGCTAGTTGAACCTTCGCCAGACGAAGAAACTCGCGCAGGGTGATGTGCATGTTGCCATGATTCGCCAAGTTAGGGCATTTCTCATCTATTGAACCGCCGAACGCGAGCCCACGAAGACACTCGTGCGTGCAGTATGGCCGATCTTGGATGTTTGGTCGCACGATGGTACCCTCTTGTGAGGCTGCGCTTCCATCATGCTCCTGCATCTCACTCGACCTGACATCTGTTGATGTGGTGGTCAAGGCACCTCCGCGACTAACGCCTGGGTTTGGCGTTGGGCAAGGGCTCTCGTCGTCATCGTCATCACTGTCGTCACCGCTTGGCTGCTGCGCCCCGTCCTGGGGTGGCAAGCATCGGGAACGTGTCCAGATCGGAGAGCGTGCAAACCCTTTCCACCGTTGCGCCTTGTAAGGAGTCTCGCGTCGCGGCTTCCGATCTGTTGCCGGGATGCTCCGCAATACATCCTCGTACTCCACAGCCCATGTATCGAGATGCTCAGCAGCGTCATGCCAGGCTTGACAGGGCGGCGGCGATCGGATGGCCTGAAGCACAAAGGCAAAGGCTTGCGCAACAGCAGTACGATGGAGTCGAGTCTCGTCGTCATCTTGGACGTCTAGGCTTGGCACGCAGACGGAGTAGTAGACGCAGGATGGGTCGTCAGGGATGTGGAGGAAAACATATGTCTCTCCGGTATCGATATACCCGTACTGGATGCCTTTACCTATCATGTAGGAGTAAAGCTGGGTCACGACGGCAGTAGCAAGTCGCCTCGCTGCGAAGTCATATCCCTCACCCTCCTGGTTAATCACATCACGATCCGGCTGGATCTCTGAGGCCAGCCCTGTGACAATCTCGCCGCGTCTCAACTTATGTGGCGCTTTATACTCGATCGCGACGACGGGGACATTTTGATCGTCAGAGGTCCGGTATATGCAGAACTGATCCCCTCGGTTGCCCTTCCCTCGTGCCTTTCGACGTTGTCGAGTCATTCGGCTGGATGGTCTGGAGCCAATCGATACTTGCTCCATCGATTCGGAAAGGGAGTCATCGGTAGTACCGAGATTCGTGTGACTTTCAAAGGTCACTGTTCCATCGAGGCCGAGATGACTCTTCAGTGATGAATCGTTGTGTGTCGCGTCCATCAGCTTCTGGACTGCATTTTCCACAACGTCTCGCTCGCAATTTCGGAGTCCAATCTCGCTGCTGACCGGGCGAAGCAGGGACCTCACGTAATCCAGCTGGTGTCGGGATGGAAAGGCGGGTCGGGAAGAAAACGAGGGACTTAACGAAAGCTGATCCCAGACTTTTTCTTGTTCTCTTGCGAATGTAGTCCAGGGGATAATTCGTCGAGGATAAATTCGGCCGGTCGGGTTCGTCGTGTCCCCTTGTGTCGTTAAGGAACGATCGGTTATTATTTCGATAGCAAGGCTGAGCGAATGGCATGTTTCGAGATATTGTTGGAGTGTTAATGGTCGCGATGCGCCTGCGCGTTTCTCGGCTTCTTCGCGTCGGTGTTGTTCTAATTCACGCTGTTGTTGTTCTTCAAGAGCGCGGCTTTCGGCGGCCACACGAAGGCGTTGTTCTTCCCTAAGCTGCTCTTTGAGTTTTTCTATTTCATCCATGGAGTTGACAGATTTTGGGAGAATACCAAGCATCAGAGAGTGGTTTGTTTCGAGAAGCTCAAGCACGCCAGCTGCACCAAGGAAAACAATGTGTCATTTTAGGAGGATTCACTTTTAGCCTCAGGCCAGAATTTTGGGGTAGGAAGTGGGGACAGCTTATCGATAAGAATTGATCTCAACCTCGGCTCTCCAACACCTGAGCAACCTCGAAGATCGTGGGCAGCGCAAAAAAATGCCTCTGCAAATGAGACAAAGAAACGAGTGACTGAGATCGATAGCACGGAGGAAATATGTTGATGTACGAAATTATAGGATTTATTCCAAGTTTTGTATGCACATATTCTACTCGAACAGCTGCAATGACTCACAGGTTGTGAAAACATGCGATCCACCCGGTGGCCTTCGCTGCTCTATGCACGTATTCCGAGTACGGCGACGTGAGTCTCATTGTACACTTTGCAAAAGGAAATGAACGACCTCGTCGAAGAGAGAAGAATGCGACCAGCTGTTGGTTTTGGTCGAGAGCAAAAGTTTGCTGTTGGTTCTTTCTAAGACTAAGTGGTTCTGGAGTACAGTATTAGAGCCAACAGTTCTCGGTCCTTAGGTCCGAAATTGGAATCAGCATTAGATGGCGGGACATCAGCTTCGAAAGTAATCCACATTATTTAAACGAGGCCAAGGCGGCTTCTCTGCCCAAGATTTTGCAGCTTTCCAGCAAGAAAGCAGCATCACGATGGAGACAACTGCGCAGCAAGCTGAAGCGATCGGCGTCGAGAATTGGTTTGTTGTGAGACGCTGGATAAGGAAAAACCATGCTATCATAAGCGGGTCAGTCTACACAGCCACATCGACGTCCGAAATTTGGGGCTTGCCCAAGTCCGGTGTCGGGATTTTCAGCCTAGGGCCGAAAACTGGTCTAGTGTCTGGGCTGTCCAATCATTATCAACATTTTTGCTATAATTAGGTACACTCGAAATGACGTGGCCTCTATCGGACAATAATTTGGGCCGCAGCATCCCCACGGGGTTTTGTGTGCAGGGAAGCCGAAGCAGTTGAAAAAGGATCCATGTAGCTAGGCGTAGCTTGCAAGATCAATGAGAATGCTGAGTTGTGGGATGCACAGCTGCCATATTTATGGTTGATGACGTTAATGCTTGTCTAATGATTGTTCCTTGTTTTTAGTGCGGGGATATCCTTGAGTTGAGCGCAGACGATAAGAAAGTGGTATAAGTGGGTACGCGGGTAATATCCGGTTTAGTATCATCTAAAGGGGCTACTTGTTCTTCGCGGCTTGAAACATTCGACCTTTCAGATCTTGGATGTATAATTGCCAGCTGCCTCCTGACCGAGCACAGCTCTCGGATTGAGTCAACACATTCCCGCTGAGGTTGCCTCTGTCTCTTCCCTCTTCCTGCGAACGTTTACGAAAAGAGTTCTTCTGCCGCATGCTCCACTCCTCAATGCTGGAAATCCGATACGCGTCGAAATGCAGAAACTTGCGCCAAGCCTACGATGGACATCGTACGACGGATGGAAATACAAAGGCATGGAAGACAGGTTGAAGGCATTGGTGACGAAGCTAGATATGGGGGTACTTCAACACCATGCTGAGCTCGTTAAAGGCCAGAAAGTCAGCATGAGCGAGCCATTCTCTGCCGGGCAGTACTGGGTTTGCTTCGAGCTGATTGCTGAAGATGGTAGCCTAGTCATTGCCCGTGTTCGTTTGCCTCGACATCCCCTTGCTTTGTCAAGTGTGAGCGAAGAAGACGAACAGTATGCCATTGCATGCGAAATATCCACGATGCATTTCGTGAAGCAGAGACTCCCGAAGTTGGCGGTGCCTTGTGTATACGCCTACGAAGGCCCTGGATCACAACTCGCGCTCGATGCTGGTGCTGCATACATGCTCATAGAAGGATTTTACGGCAATACACTACAAGATGTTGTGCCTGATCTTTGTAGTTTATCGGTGAGTGGGTTTCCTCAACGACCTTCACAGTTCTAAGTCGTTCTAGGCATCGAAGCTGGAGCATGTTATGGCCCAGTGGACAACGATTCAATCATCGTTGGCAACCCTGACGTACTCTCAAATTGGATCGATCTCCGCTATTACCGAAACTGGAGAGCCCGTCATTGGTAAGCTATCTTCGGCTGCCGCCGAGGGTCTTATTTCGCAAGGACCTTTCCAAAGCGCTGTTGATTACTTTACTGCTCTTGGAGAAGCGGCCTTGCGTCGGGCGTACGCAGATAGCGGCACTCAGAATTCGTCGCACTTCCGCAAGCTTGGCGCGCTCCTCTTTCTTGATATTGTGCAATCTACGCCATTATTCAAAGTCCACCACACACAGTATCCCCTCAATCATATGGACCTCGGTACGCAGAACGTTCTAGTCGACGATGATCTCAACTTCCTAGCCGTTATCGATTGGGAGTTTGCCCAAACTGCACCATGGCAGGTAAACCACTACCCGATGCCCTTCCCACTATTATGGTCGGATGAGCGGATCAAGAACATCCTGAACAACCCTGACCACCTTGCATACAAGAATGTGTCACGACAGGCGGCTGCTAGGAAATTGTATTGCAGGAAGTTTGACGAGGCTGCGGCTAAGCTGGCCCAGGACGGCCTATCCCTCAGTGATAGTTACCCAGAAGTGTTAGAAGGGGCGGCGTCGAGGATTTATGCTTGTTTCTGCAAAGTAGGGGACGTACCGGAGCAGGATGAAGGCCTTGTGAACGAAATGGCGCGCCTGGCGTTTGGGTTTGATGCTGAGAGAACGAAACAATATCTGGAATATTTACTATACAAGCAAAGATGACGAATACCTCCGAAGAGTCGCATGTCCTTTCTGGACTTCGTTTTGCTGCCAAACATCTAATCCTGACCCTCTGTCTCAAAGTATACTCCCACTTTACCAGTCTGTAGTTCCATCACCATTTCATTCGCGTTGTCGTTCTGGGGAGGGATGAGTTTCGGCCAACTTCGTAGCTGATATGATGGGGCGAAAGAGCAAGTGATCGGAGATCCGTGATCCGTTTCGAAGGCAACTCGCGCGTCTAGAATGACTCTGTGATTATTAGCCACTGTCTTGAAGTGGAGTGGTAGACTGACAATCCGCCGATTTGGAAGTCGAGCAGTACAGGCTCGCAGCCTGCACGTTCTAATTTTGCGGACGCGACTTCCCACATGCGATTTGCGGCGCGAACACTCCCCAACGTCTCACGGGGTATTCTGTGGGATCCACGCCAATAGATTCCTCGGCAACCATCTTTCCACAGCTGGACAACGAAGACGTCCGCCTTCGCACCGCCCCTTCTGAGCTGAAAGACGTGGCCTCGGTCCTCTTGGATTCTCCGGTAATCCCCAAGCGCGCACCATTCGAAGGATTCCTCGAGAACCGAACGAATGCACTATAAATTCTTTAGGAAAAATGGATAAAGAGCCATTTTTGGAGCTGGTTCACCTCGTTATTGCGTACGTTGTCGCGGTAGAATTGCAGGCCTGCCATAGATGTTGTCGAGAATTGCTGTTTATTCTCCTCCATGTCCAAGATACGGCGGCCAACTATGGAGTCCTGTATGTGATAAAAGCCATTCTCTGCGATCGCCTTAATTGCGTCTTCCAGTGCAAACGTAGTTGATGCCATCGAGCCGGTTGCTCGGTCCGAGCGACAAATATCGCGAGGCTGCGGGTGAGGTCGAAAAACAGAGGGGAAGATGGATGGGTACCTGAATGAGGGGTAAAAGCATGCATCACACTTTTGTGAGAACCCATGCCAACCTGCCCCACACAGTGTCTTCCCCTGCCCCTGCACACATATAGAGCTGTCGACGTTGGATTCACCAAAACGTGAAAATGCGAGCCACCCTTGCTTCGGGGTAGGCAACAGAGAGGGCATCAACCAAGTATAAAACCACTCGTTCTCGGCATGCAAGATCTTGGTTCTCCTTTCAAATACCTAATACTATTCGTCTTCCCTCAATATACCGGACTCCGGGATCAGTACTGAAAATCATCTTGAAATCATCTGTCTTCCTACCTTCACTTGCTTTAGGGACTCTCCGCGAACATGCCTTCTTCCAACAACCAAGTTCAGTGCTCGCAATGCGGCGCTGTTTACGGTCAGGGCCAGGCACATACCTGCCCCAAGTGAAGGACCGCTGTAGAATGAGGTATGCTAAAGATATAGTTTCTTGGTCAATAACTGATTTCAGGCAGCAGGATTGGCGATCAATTTGGCAAAGAGACTTGACAATAATATCTCCTGGCAGATTACATGGTTTCGTTCGCTTTTGGTGAGGGAAGGGAAAGCTGAGTAGAAGATTTCGCTAGCAGTTGTTCATCGCCAATAATCAAAACCCTGGCACCGACGGCAGGAACCTTTTTTGAGTCTTATATTACTTGATCCTTTCGTAATCATCATTCTTTATTTGTTCTTGCACTATCTGCAAAAGTGGGCACGAAAGACACTTCTGAAGGAACATCAAGTGGTACTGGCCGCTCGTTAATAGGCATGCGGGCAGGCGTAGAAGCCGATTTCCAGTTGCTATCAGATGCTGCAACAGGACCCGCTTGGGCAAACGCCCAATCTCCTAGTGTAAGCGTATTGTTTGTTGTTTGGGGGTCCGGAGTAGCGAATGCCCATTCGCCTAGGGGATATTCGTTTGATTCCGAATCCGTGGTTGTGATAGCAAATGCCCATTCACCCAAACCCCAGTCCACGTTTGCTGTCACTCCCATTGTTGCGGCCTCGAGAGACCAATCTTCCCCAATCATGCTGCTAGAGGTGTGCAGTAATACATTAGTATTTGAATCTGCAATCGGGGTCTTCTGTGCAGGCATATGGTCAATTACGCACGAAGTTGAGATCATTTCGCGTTGCGGTTCCGTTGGCGCGTTAGTCGTAGTCATCGTATCAACCGTTCTTTTTGTTGCCGCCGAATCACTATGTCGGCAGGATGGTCCCGGGTATAGGTTGGTATCGTGGGCGGAAACAGGAGCCTTCTCCTCCTCCTTCTTCTTCTTCTGCACCTGCTCTGAAACAGGAGATATTTGACCTCGTTTCCTAGCGCTACGCCGATCCTGCCAGCGGTCCAAATCTTTGCTGACAGTTGCATTGAAATTGACAATCCTTTGCTCCATGAAAATGCTCTTCGGATCGTCAGGGCTGCTCTCATGATGATGCCTGTTATATCGGTGAACCTTCACGATAGGGTCGAAACAGAATGGACACGTCTCATAACAATCGACATCTAGGGGTTGGGTTTAGTAACGTGCTCACGGATTCACGGGCAACGTACGCGTTTGGAAGTGTCGCGCGAGATTTCCTCTGGATGTATACGGATCGTTGCGGCTACAAGGCTTGTAAGGACATGTGAGCGGATCCGATGGAGAATGAGATGCCGATTCGTCATCATCTTGCTCTTCGCTGTTGGGCTTCTCCAGATGCATCCGACAGCGCTCCAATTCTGCAAGAAGCAACCGTTCACGAGCCTATTCCATTTGGTTACGAGTGCCAAAGTAAAATCTTTAGGTGTCACTGACTCTGTAATTCTCAATGTGATCCAGAAGGTGTTGGTTAGAACTGAACCTCACGAAACAAGTCTGACACTGAAGGTGTTGTTTGTACTCGTTTGCCATTGCTGAAAAGCGATCGGGACTGAAGAGAATAGATGAATGATTTGATTCGGAGCGGTGCTCCAAGATTAAATGACCTACCCCATTTGTGACAATGACAGACGCAGCCCCACAGCGGAGCAGCTCGGGCCGGTACTGGTGCCCGACGTAAACCGACGCAAGCATTTAAACCAAGCCAGTGCCCCATCTGCTGGAAAAACAAGAGTTTACCAACTTTGAAATCTATTTCTACGACTTGTAGCTGAGCAAAATGACAACACCGTGCGCAGCTTGTAATGGCGAGGGCATGAAAGATGGTGGTATTTGTACAGACTGCAAGGGCAAGGGGAAAATCGATTGAACAAATTTCGCTTGCGAATTTCCTTCGGTTGTACATGCACGTGGGAAGCTGAGGTACGTTGCGCGGCTCGTTTCGAGACTACCAACGCGCTGACACAGTTTGTAATTAGGAACCATGACAGCATTTACGCCAGTCGAGGTCAACACTATTGAGTGACCCTCAGTGCGGACGGCGCTGCGCTGTTTTAAGTCCCAGATGAGAAGTATGCGTGACTGTCAAGCTATAAAAAAATCCCATCCTACTCTTCGTTCAGACGTTCTGGGTAAAAGATCATCAAGAGAGTTGGACAGGCTGGAGATGCAGAACATGGGGGTTGACATTAGCTGTGTAGTTTAATCTTCAATGACGCGCACAGTACCAATTCCCGTTGCGAAATGAATGAATGCCAAGGGTGATTTTCTTAGATGATGACAAATCCTAAAACCAGCCCCAATATTTGGATGCCTCAAATCTAGGGCGACGATATCAGGGACTAAAAGCCGGCGCTCACTCCCGTCCGTCTCTCACTTTTGTGAGCACCCCTGCACTCGATCCCCACTTGAAACGCAGATTTGAGAAGTCCCTTGCACTCACAAATTCGTGAATACCCTTGTGTGATCTCCGTGCAGCCTAGCAATGTTAACCTACATGACGAGAAGCCCCACTTCAAACAACCAGTGGCAACAAAATTTGTACAGTGGGCTATCAAAACGGCAAGAGGAGCTTCGTCGTGCCTGATCTGCCGTCCAATCGGATTTGAGATACCGCCTGCCTGCGAGATCCCTGGATTCGTATGAGAGAGGAACTAACGTCTCTTTGATATTGAACACCCTACCTGGACATGGATCGCATTGCAACCCGTTCGTTTGAGGAGTATGGAGCACGGGGGTTGACTTCGCGCCAACCCATCCTTCCTAGCCAATATGTGAGATGCGTGCAGATGTCCCATTGACCTTTCGACCAAACATATCAACGGTCTCTCAACGTAGGGCTTGGACGTATATTGTAGAATGCGGACTCCCTGGCAGTCTTATCCTGGGATTTAGTTTTTTGTTTGTCAGTCGGGGATCCAACACTACGAAACCAACAGTATCACCGCAGTCGGTGGCTTGCAGGTAATCTCAGCTGAGATTGTCGCCCACTCGTAGGTGCTAGGGTAGTCACACTTGATGTGAATCGACATGTCTTAAACTGCCGATCAAAAGACTTGCTTCATCTGGGTAATGTCGCAAGAGCTCTCCGAGTCCTCCTGGAGTATAAAAATGGCGTTGTGTCGCCAAACTTATGTTCGACTTTTCTTTTTCTGAAAATCACCGCCAGAGCAACTACCCCATCTTCGAAAAGAAACCATTATTGTTCCAGTAGAACCCCTTCTCATCTAAAATCCATTCTCGGCCATCATGTCACCTGTTGCGGATATGCCTCATCCCTTTGTCAACTCGCGGTCGACTCGGCCACCTAGCCCTAGTGCATCTACGATCTCAGACTCGAACACGCTCGAGGTTGAAAACGCAGAAATGGCGTTTGCTGCACGGTTTATCACCGCCGTTGAGACACTTGTGGATAACAAACTATCCAACAGCCATCCAGATGGCACCGAGAAACCCGAAACAAAGGGAGGACAGCCTCATATTGGCCGTGGGACGATTCTTAGTTACAAACACGTTGAAGAAGCGTAGGTGACCTCCCTGACTGCGTTATACACTACCTAATGAAGACGTTTTAGCTGGGATGATAAAACGTTCAAATACAAGATCGTTGAGGATAATCAATCCAGGATCGGAAATCTCGACCAGTTTGTATTTGTTGCCAGAGACAGAATCGGCAAGTTAATATCTATCGACAGTGAGCTTGTCTAATCAGCCTTATAGATAGAAGAACACAGGACAAAACAACCTTCATTGACGTCAAATCCGCGGCACTTCGAGATATCCTGAGGGAAGCGTGTCGCGATTTCCGGGGTATTTCACTTGCTGGTGATACTCCTTCAGTAGGATTCCCATTTACCTTTTCAAAGGCGAATAACTGACATTCAAAAGATTGAACAAAACGTTGTCTTTCACATTCGAAGCTTCCTGAGATATCGGCGCGATACCATTGTCGCGGAACAAGACGCGATGAGCCATAGCCATTTGAATCTCTTTGTGGATTACATTGAGGCGGAGTTTCACTCAGTAGACGAAGAGCTTGCTGGCCTTGCCATCAAGAATGAGATAACCTTTGATCTTCTCTGGGCTTTATTTGAGCCGAACGAAAAGGTCTTTACTACTTGTCCTGGCACTGGCTCCCCGAGATGTGTTCTCCACAACTATTGCGAAGAAGGGGAAGAAATGGACGGGTCCAAATTCGTGCGCCTTGACACTCGCTTCCTAGGCACCGATGGGAAAATTTTCGGTGAAGCAACTAACAGAATCAAAATCCCGCATTTTCCTGGAGCCAGAAGAATCGACTTCCTCCCAGCCTATCCTTTGCGTTACCATCATAACTACGATGAGATATTCCGAGAGCTGGTGGAGAATGGTCGTCGATTTATCTCCTTGCATGGCAGTCATCATCTTCAATACCGAGGATTCGCCTTTTTTTTCGATGACGAGGGTGAGATCGTGAAGCGCCATGTTGACGGGCGGATCATGGTGGATCCGGTCGGCTTCCGGGAGCATTACCCTGGTCATCCGCAGCCGACTGTCCGAAATGTCAACCCCATACAAGAGACCCCCGGGCCGTCCAACTGGACTGGGTCTTTCAGTTCGGAGACAGTGGTATTGCAAGACGAAGATTTCCTTATCTGCGGTCCAACTGTCCTGGGATTCTGTCTTGGCAGTAAAAAGTTTCGTAAGTCGAGACAATTCCGTGAATAATTTTGCCGATGCCTAACAATTTCTCAGTTGAGTTTGCTGTCGCTTATATCAGTGACATCACGTGGATGCCGTCGTCCTACGACGACGTGAAGATACCCGACGCCCAGAAGAAGGCCATCTGGGCTCTTACTCACACGTACTTTTCTGGCGATACTGAGAATGGCCTCGAGGATATCGTACAAGGAAAAGGACGGGGCATCAACTTTCTACTATAGTATGTACTGCGAATATACAGCTTTTTCCTTTTTGACTTACAACGGTGTTAGTGGGCCGCCCGGTGTCGGCAAGACGTTAACAGCCGAAACAATTGCGGAGACCCACAGACGGCCGCTCTATGTGGTCCCGGCGGGCCAAATTGGAGTCGATCCGGTACAGGTGGAGAATATTCTCACAAACACCTTCAAGATCGCAGGTCGTTGGAAGGCAATCCTGCTTCTTGATGAGGCGGATGTGTTTGTGTCTCAACGTTCCGACAACCCGCAAGTCAATGCCCTTGTCTCGGTATTTCTTCGAGAATTGGAGCGGTTTGATGGCATTATGTTCCTTACGACGAACCGAGTGCAGTCCTTTGATACAGCAATGATGAGCAGAATTCACCTTGCTCTGGAATACAAGCCGCTGGGAATAGACTCCCGTCGAGCTGTCTGGAAGTTTTTCCTGGAGAAAGCCAGAACCCAGCATGGCACCTCGAATCTTACTGAACTAGTTGATATCGTGGCGCACAAAGAGCTCAATGGCCGCGAAGTATGATCATACCCGTTCTTTGAGACCATAACTAACTATTGCACAGATTCGAAACACTGTGCTTGTGGCACAATCTATGGCTGTGTATGAGGGAACAGTTGTGTGCGAGGATCATCTCATGGAGTCCATTACAGCACGGGAACAAGTCCGCGAACATCACCTTGGAGTCGGTGCTTCTGACAACTTGAGATCTTACTTCTGATCTGACTAGCTGTGTTCCATCCTCACTATACCTCTAGATGCGGCCTGATTATTGGGGGGGGGGGGGGGGGAAGGGAGTAGACGAAGGGGGAAAGTTGCTATATTGTCTTTAGTTCTTATGATTTTCACTCCTTATACATTCTTAGTTAGGACCTGGCACTGTAGGTTGGGGGGTCTCGTACATGAGAAGGATAAAGAGAGATGTGTGCTTCGAATAATTACGTGGACGCATGTGAAGCGGCGCGGAACAAAATAGAGGGTTAAGGTGGTGGCCCGTCAGTCCCTACAGTCTTCAACTGGCCACTAGGATATTTTAGCAACACCACGCTCGTTACTCTGTAATCACATTCATGAATAAGAGTGCTTCTAAGGCGAATCTTGTGGAGTGTTACCTTCATATCAAACTCACTTGCCGGTTAGTGTATGATATTGTCGAGCGTGATGATGGCTTCTTGGAGCCATGACCTTGACCCCTGAAACTGATCAACCACTCGGGAAGTGGATGCATGCAACCATCCTCGTGTTGGACCTTTTGTCTCATTAATCACGCGTTATACGGTGTGGTGGAGCATTTCCTCGCTAGGTCATTGAGTCGCAAGCATAAATAAGGGCCTGGAGTCCCGTCTCAAGATGCAACCCCATGACAGATGTCTTTATCGCTCACACAGTTGAGAAACCATGGACCCTTCTTCATATTATGAAACCAACGACATGTACCTCATGTCTGTCCTCTCCTTTTCTTGCCTTATCCTCTTTGTTGTTATTAAGTTTGATGCCCCGTGGTCAAAGGAGAGTTGTCTCTCATACCTAGTAGGAGTATGGATTCCGTTCCAGCTGACGGCCTTAATCCTGTTCTCTCTGCAGCACTCCCAGAGGGTCGAACTCCCACAGCAACTAGCGACATCTGTAAATACCATCTTGGCCACAACATCTCTGTTGGGGGTGGCAGTCATCCAGGTCAGTCAAAGTCTGTAAGATAATTGTTGCACGCTCTAAGATCACAACATAGATTATCACGATCATCTATACATTCGCAGTCCTAGGGAACGAGATATGGTGGAAATCGGCTGCAGCACTTGTGTGTGTTGAAGTTGCTTTGATTTTGATATTTACCATGATTCCGCAAGTCCCGACCCCCGTGGAGCTGGCATATATCATGCCTTTCACTTCACAAACTGCAGCTATAGGTGTAATCTGGGCGTCATCTCGAGACATATTCCGAAACAGGATACAGAAGAATACGGCTGATCATCTGTTGGGTTTGGGCTTAATCACTCTCCTTGTCTCTGCACTTTTACTTCCACTGTCAACTCTCAGGTACTTTTGAAGCCAGATGACTCTCCAATGGGTATTCTTCATGGTAATCACAACGGTAGCCTACCGACTTCCTGAGAGCTCTAGCAACGAGCCTGCTACAACCAGTGCCTCACAGATTGAGCTCACACCAATGGGCGGCTCATGCAGTATGAATGAACCTCCGCCCGAGAGTTCGCCGGACCTCAACGAACGAACATCAATCCGTTCCCGCGTAACCCTCCCTCCTGATTGTATACGATCAGTTGAACATTCTGGCAACAAACAAGACATTGACTCGTCAGTGTAGGTGGAATATCTCACGCACTGCGCAGAGAAAAGTGAAAGGAGATGGCAGTAAAAGTCTGCAACAGGTATATGTCTTGCGCTGCTGGGGGATTCGTCACTGCCGGACGAAACACGGGACCGTCGAATGGCACCCCGTTCTACATATCACATAAAACACACATGTTTTTTCATATAAGTCAAGTTCTATACAGCTAGCTGATGCCGTTGATCCCTCGTCGGCTTTGTCTAAGTTAAGCCTTGGGAATAATGCGGAAGGGTGCGCTGGATTTTGGCCCAAAAACAATGCTCAAGGCAGGTACTGGAAGCAACAAGACAGACCGAACCCTCCGTCTGTGGACGGACGCTCGGGTATCACGCTAACTTCGAATGTTTTGCTGGACTCGAAATCATCTCACATTCACGGCATATCCCGGCCTACGTCCTCTTACAAGCGCTCTACCCTTCACTATTCTCCGGGGTAGCGCCAGGCTTCCCCTACCGTTGATATCTCAAGCCCCGGATATAATCGCTTCTAGGCTTGTTAGCAATACAAGTTCATAGAAGGAGCTACGCGAAATACAGATGCGATATGCGGAGGCTAGCTCAATTTAGCTCGGTTTAGTGCGATGGTGTTATGCTCCGGGAGTTGCCCAAAGGGTTTTGGGAACAGTCACTTACTGGTCCTTTTACGCTCCATTTTCAAATTTGGTTTTGTACTCTATTCACTGGTGGTTTGGTGGTGGATTTAGTTCCTGCCTGCCGAGGTCTGCTTATATTACTATCCTTAATATCTGAGCTAATTGATCTTGCTGATCCACCCATTGCCGAGATCGTGGTTAATTGTCGCTAGGGTCAGCGGGGGGCGAGCGGCCCGTTCCTTGCCCACTACTCTGAGGATGGGCCTTGATAATCGTGCCTTGCATGCACACTTCAGGTGCTCGCCGATTAGTGAATGACCTAACGCGTCCGCGACGCGCTAAAGCCGATTTTCGCGGGCAGTAGGAGGCATTGGCCACAGATATGGATGGGAGCAAGCGAAGCGCCGTTGTGGAATTTAAGCCTTGTACCTGCTCCTCTTTAGTAACAGCTGCTGCCAGTACCGTACGTACTCAACAAATTCGCACACCCGAATGCCTCTTTTTAGCATACTCTAATTGATTAGAGGCCTTGAGCCTTATCCAATAGGCCGTCTCGTGTTTTGTGGGGATACAAGGGCTTTGATGGACCGATCATTACGAAATGCACAAAGCGCGTTTGTGTCCTCGGCAGGAAGCCAAGCGCGACTCCGCCACGCCACAGCCTCGTTAGGCATCCACCGTGGTACCTATTGACGGATCCCCTCTCTCCTCAGCGCTTTCCTTCAGCGAACCATAGTTCCACGAACATTGTCGCTGTTGGCCCCCGCAACGAGGGCAAGTCATCTCTTGTCAGCCGGGCCCCAGAGATCGGCATGCTTACAGTGGTAGCGCAAGGGTCAAGACAAAGATAGGACAGATCTCGATGCCGCTCTTGGCGCTCTCAGGCTCCCCATTGCATCGTAGCGGAAAGAAGACGAGGCTCAGTTCGCATATGTAGTGTCAGCGGTTAGGCGGGGTAGCGATCAAGGCATCTGGAGAGCCAGGGCAAACCCATTTGCGTGACCACAAGGCATTGCTGCTTCAGATCAGTTGCGTACGACCAACGACTTCTGGACCTTCTGCCTGAACGCGGCCTGGGGCGGGCGGGCCCTGACCACGGTGGGCACGATAAATACGATAAGGCTGTCGCACCCTGCTGGAAGCACTCGTGCAGGGGTGGCTGAGGGCCGGTTATAAGGTAAGGAACCCCTCACCAGCTCAGACCTGTCAGATCAACGACACCTCACCATGGAGCCCGCCGGCCTCGTCATTGGGGTCGCTGGGCTCGCTGGGCTCTTCAACGCCTGCCTGGAAGCCGTTGACAAGGTGCAATCCTACCAAACATTCGGAACTGACTCGCATGTTCTAGATACTCGATTCAAGGCTGCCAAAACCCGCTTCGAGCGATGGGGCCCGGGTGTGGGGATCAAGCAAGGCAAGCTGCTCCCCAATCATCACCCTGTTCTAGACGACAATGACACATCTGCGGTGGTGACGGACTTGCTACATATAATCATCAAGACTATTTGCGATGCGAGCAACTCGCCCCAACGCCGTACTCGGGCCACCGGGCCAGAGGTCGATGACTCGTCGGGCTTGCACGAGCCGGGGCTCCCCTTCGCAGCGGCGTCACGGTCGAGGCGGGGGAAGATGTTCTGGGCGCTCTGGGGCAAAAGAGGACGCGTCGAGCAAGTCGAATTATTCGAAAAACTAGTGCAAGAACTGCACTACCTGGTGCCCCCGACTACTGGGGAGAGTACACGACCGACACACAAGCCGGACCCAGGACGCTCCGATACGCTCGAACGAGGCATGGACTCCAGAAGATTGAAACGTGGCTGTCGTCTGACGAAGGCTAGGGACTCCAGGTCACACATGGCCTGCCGAGATACGACAGATTCTGGCTCGGATCGAAGGTGAAGTTAGAGGTTAGGTACACCATCCAGACTTCCCAAGCTGAGCTAACGTCCACGGAGCCGAGACACGACGGGAACTCCACTCCTGGCTCGGCCGCTCTCTAAACGAACGTTACCACGACTCCCTCGAAAAAAGACTGATCGGCACGTGCAATTGGATCCTCGACCGGCCCGTGTTTCAGCACTGGCTGTCGACAGAGTTCTCCGCGGGGCCAAAGCTGCTGTGGGTAAATGGACCTGCGGGGTTTGGGAAGACGATTCTCTGCGCCCACGTCGTCGAACATCTCTCGTCCATCCTCAACACGCCCGTCTCCCATTTTTTCTTTACATCCGACCACGAGAGCCGCGAAGACCCCTTCTTGGCCCTACGGTTATGGATCTCCCAGATCGTGTCACGTCATGAGGGTGCATTCGAGCACGTTCGCCAGAAGTGGGAGTCTGACTCAGATCCTGTCGCAACACGCTTCACTGTCATATCGCTCTTCACGCAACTCCTCCACGCCATCCCTGGCTGCACGTTCGTTGCGGATGGCCTGGACGAATGTACCTCGTTAGGTAACACTAACACTTCGGTTGCGAAATTTCTCCACGATATCACAAATGCGGTTGCCGGGACGAACGCCCGACTGCTTGTTGTGAGTCGCGACGAGCCCGAGATCCGACGCGCCCTCATAAACGACGCGCGCGAGAGCTTTGCCCAGTACAGGATCGTGCCCGAAGACGTCCGATCCGATACTGCCGCCTACTCTCAATCCATTGTCGACAGGAAACTCCCCAATAAGAGCGACGATATCCGGTCGACTCTTTCCGAAGCAATGACCAATCGATGCCAAGGCCAATTCCTTTGGCTTAAAATGCAAGAGGAATCCCTGAGGAGAGGGATGAACAAAAAACAACTTCAGAGCGCTATTGAAAACACGCCAACTGGGCTTGACCATCTCTACGACCGCAACTGGACTAGAATCACCCGATTAGGAGAGTGGGAGAAGCACCGTGCATTCGCCCTTCTGCGCTGGACTGCATTCGCACTACGGCCCCTGACTGTCTGTGAGATCACTGAAGCCGTCCTCATCGTCGAGTTTGAAGGCCTGCCATTGGACGATCTCCCTGATGCGGTGGATGACGATTACGTCGACAGTGAGATAATTGGCCTCTGTGGCCCTCTCTTAGAGGTCAGGAATGACCCCACCGATCCTTCCGTGGGCCGAAGGACAGTGCATCTACCGCACTTTACCGTCCGACAATTCCTGCTTCGCCAGCTCCCTACACCAGATTGGATCCAACAGAACAATCGCTTGCAAATTTCTCATGAGAAGGTTCAGAATACCGTCCTTGCTAAAGCTTGCCTTCAGTATGTCAGCTTGCGTCAGGTTTGGGGTGACGGTAGCTATGATCCCTCCTCTCTTGGTCTGTCGTTGCGAAGCTACGCGGCAACGGCCTGGCATCGACATGTACATTTAGGCGTGCGCAACGAGGCCGAAATAGCCAAGCTCTGCATCAAATTTCTCGACCTAGACAATCCCAACTGGGAAGCTTGGAGATCGTTGATCGAGCCAGGGAAAGTAGGACAAAGAAACAAAGAAGCCGAGGCCATCCCACCTGGTCCGCTCTACTACGCAATAAAGCTGCACTTGAACGACGTGGCAATTGCTCTAGTCACTGAACAAAGCGCGAATGAGAGCAGCAGTTTGGGAAGGTCACCTCTTGGCGTCGCTTGCGCTAATGGGTGCATTGACGTTGTTGACGTGCTTCTCAAGAAAGGGGCCGACCTTACGGTTACAAATCGCAATGGATGGACACCTCTGCATGCAGCATCATATAATGGACACGAACATGTTGTCGATCTCTTACTTGATCGTGGTTGCAGTGCGGACCTCAGGGATAAAGAAGGTCGCACACCTCTATCGTGTGCTGCTGAGAAAGGACACGAGCCAATAGTGAGGCGACTTCTCGCTATGAATGCTGTCGATGTGAACGCGAGGCGTACTGTTTACCCAAAGTCGGTCTTTTATGGGGTATGGTGTGATGACAAAGAGATTGCGAAGTTCTTGTTTCCTATGGACGACAGTCCGAGACTTGGTTGTTTTGGCTCCCTCCTACCTTCAGTAAACTCGGGCGACATCCCTATGGTCAATTTAATGAAAGCCCTTAGGCACCTTAAAGGTGCTGAGGTCGAAGCGATCAAATCTGGTCATACCTCTGTTTTAATCGAGGCACCCGACATCTGTAACAAAGTGGAGCTGGTGCTTGCTAGAGACGTCAATATTAAGACTGGAACAACTCCGCTCCACCTAGCAGCTCAGAATGGCCATGCCACGGTGGTCAGGACATTGCTTGAAGTGAGAGGCATTGCCACGGAGCCCGTGGATGAGTCTAATCGAACTCCCCTGTTGCTTGCCGCAGCGGCTGGGTACGAGGCGGTGGTCAGACTTCTCCTTGGGGCAAATGGTGTCAATCCAAATTTCATGGACGGGTACTATCAGACGCCGCTCTCCCTGGCTGTGAGATACGGGCATGAGGCCGTAACCAAGCTTTTGTTGGATAATGGCAACGGAATTTTACAAGATGAAGTGCGTAAGCGAACTTAGACCATGAAATATATACAAAAGTCTTGACGACGATTTTGTTTGAAACTCCTGTTTGCCCCACTAGAGAGTGGTGCAAGGAAAACCTCAACGAAAATGACAGAAAAAGGCGCGGCAGTGGTTTGGGAAAGGAAAGACGTTGCCGGGAATAGAACGGTCGCACCCGTCGTGATCGCAGAGATGTGTCGGAGTTGGTGTCGATTGCTTATGTCAGGAGCAGTCTGATTTCGGCACCCCAGCGGGCGCTTAAAAATAGAAAAGCGGCCAGTCCGGAATCTCGACATCTGGCCAGGCCCTTCTGCCGTGGTACGCACGTTGTGGGGTGAGATGCACTGTTCACGTACTACCACGGAGCCCGCAGGCTGATTGTGCTGGCGCATACTTGTCCAATGACCTACCTTGAGGGATCATGCTCTGACCACGGATGTGGCTGGGAGTAAGCGCCATCCACGAAACATGACACATGTCTTTGTACGAAGTACTCTTTTTTCTCTGTCAGCTGTTGCTTGCCTCCTAACATCATGATGTACCAATCATTACGAGATGCATGAAGTGCGTTCGCCTGCTCGGTGGTCACCTAAGCTCGACTCCGCCACGCCACAGCCTGGTTAGGCATTTACCGTGCAAGCCGCCAATTCTCCAGCCCGCGAGGATTGGGACCAATGTCAGTGCAACAGAGGAAAGAAACATTAATTTGTACAGGAAATTGGTTGTTGCCAAGAGGTTTCGCTAAGCGCGGTGGCGTCGTCTGCTTTTCCTCGGCGCTTAGCAGTATGACCCGGCGGGGCCTGCAGGTTGCTAAAGAGAATCTTGCGATCTCCTGTTTCTCCTCTTTTCTTCCTCACATTTCTTTCCCAGCTCTTCCCTTAGTTCTTCAATCAACCATGAGTTCATTGGCAGTTGTCAATTATGGCTCTTTGCAAGATTTGTCTCAGACTTGACTTTGCCACCATTTCACAGACCGGTGTCAAGAAGTTCTTACGACTGGACGAGGGTCCTAACTTGAAGTATTACGTCGCCCAGGATATTGATCTTTACACCTTCAGAAATGCGTTCATACGGTACCATGATACTCTCGATTCTTTGCATGCTAGTGCGAAATTGTGCGATATATGCCGCTTGGTTCAGATCAGCGTTGAGATCGTTTTCAGGAAGAATCCAGGGCTGGGATCTAGCTATGAGTTTTGGATTGGGGGTCGAGAAGGTTCTGATGGCTTTGAAGTTGTCGGCTTTGATGAGAGCAGAACTGCGAACTCCGTTTGTGAGCTTATGGCGGCTTTCGGCTTCTGTGTTGAACGTGGTTAGTCATTTTCCCTTTGGTCATGATGAACATTAGCTTATGCCAGCTACAGGAAGTCAGCTCGACCATATGATTGACGGGCGGGTAGTGCCGGCGTCACCCCGTTCGTCTCTTGTCCTTGATCAGATTAAAGGCTGGGTACAGCAGTGCAGAGAGCATCATAAACACGCGAAACCGGAGTCAGTCTTATTACCGACAAGAGTGTTGAAAATCATAAACCATGCGGAAGAGGTCATTCTCCATGATTCCAATGGCACGAATGGACAGTATGCGGCTCTCAGTCATTGTTGGGGTTCTACACAGACGACTACCCTGACTCACGATAACATCGAAGAGTTGCGAAATGGAATCAAGGTTTGCAACCTTCCACAGACATTCCAAGACGCTATATGGTTGACCAGTCAACTTGGAATACCGCATCTCTGGATCGACAGTCTCTGCATTATACAAGATGACCTCGCTGATTGGGGAAAAGAATCTGCCCGGATGTGGGATGTCTACGGGAATTCGCACCTCACTATTGCGGCATGTCGGGCCTCCAATAGCCAAGACGGGTTTCTAGGCAGGCGGCTGGCGCCATCCTATGTTCCAGTTCCCTTCCACAGAAATGGAGTCTCTGGGGAGGTGCTAGCTTTCTCTGTTCCGCTGAAGTACGTTGGGGATCCGACCAAAGCTGTCGATTTGGAAGACGAGCCTTTGACGAGTCGCGGCTGGGCCCTACAAGAGCGCTATTTGTCTCCACGGACCCTGCATTTCTGTCATTCGAAGGTCTGCTTCGAGTGTGATGATGGCTTTCTTGCGGAGGATAAGTCTTCCCTCGCTTCATCGCTCCTCTATACGCCCGGTTTATCTCGGTACCATTACTCGATAGGGCTTACGGAAGAACAGCGCCGTCATGATTGGCGTCGAATTGTTGAATCATTTTCACGGCGAAAACTCACAATGGGTGATGATAAATTGCCAGCAATAGGAGGCTTAGCCGCTCGGTTCTCTTTGGATTACATTCCAAGAGGTTCCGTACCTGTTCCAAGCAATCGGTATCTCGCCGGTCTTTGGTTCGACGATATGATTCGAGGCCTTTGTTGGTCGATTGATATCTACAGAAAGAATGGAGTGCGTCCTCAGACGTATCGGGCCCCGACATGGTCTTGGGCTTCTGTGGATGGGCAGGTGGACTATAAATCTGCCTGGGTTCATTCAATTAATGAGCTTGCGGTGGTTCAAGAAGCGCATGTGGAGCTTGAGTCGCCCGAGAACAGTTTCGGAAAGGTAACAGGTGGCTGGGTCTGCCTGAAAGCGCTCAAACTTCGACCGTATAGAAAACCTACCGACAAATCTCTCTGGGTTTGCGAAGACGGCGTCGTTTTTCGCATCGTCGCGACTTGGGATTCAGAACCGTATCAAGCACCGGAACAGGGAAAGCCAGCAGACCTAGCTATGGGTACCAGTGAGCTTTTCTTGATACCTCTAGGTTGGGTCGACGGCGATCTTCAGGCCAGAGACCCTGGCTCCCTTTTGGGACCGTTGTTTCTCATTGTTAAGGTAGTGGCACATCGCATTCAATCATATGCCCAGGTACCAGGGTTTCAGAGAGTTGGATTTGGGACGGGGGTTTGGTTAATCGATGAAAACGAAGGTACGGATAGAGTGGGGTTAAAACGGCTGATTATTGAAAAGTATGCTGTTGCGAAAGACCAAGGTGATCTAGAATGCATCATTCTAATATGAGACAATACCCCTATAGAATATCATCGGGTTCAATGAACACTACAAAAGGCCATGTTTTCGAGATACGTTTTGCTTATTTTGATTAGGACGGTTCTGGCTCACGGCTGATATAAATGATAGTCCATGTAACCCCTTGATAACGAAGTGTCTTGCTTGCAGAATTTGCTGAGTCACTTCTACTCCAAAGCAATGATTCCTCCCTCTGATTGCCCCCAACGTAGAACGCGCGTTGGGGACGTAGGTCTCGCTCCCCAACATTATTAGTGAGGATCATCGACCCTTAAGATCAGCTAGAAGAGTTGATGTGATGAGGATGTGACGATGGCGTAGTGCCAGCTAGGGGAAGAACCCCTAGCATGTGATTTCCGAAATTGGGCTGCATGATTTATACAAGCCAATCACACACCTAGACCGTTTCTCAGACGCTTTGCGCTGACCAACACAACCAGCCTCCGACAGCAGCCTTTGCTCACATTTTCTTAGCATTGAATTATGGCTTGATAGTCAAATAAAATACATGACTTAGTTTTTTGATTTACTTAGGTACTAGCTACCCTAAACCTGAATGACGTTAAGGGCGTCGGAATAGGCTTAGCTTAGCTAAAAAGCGAGCATGTGCCCATGGTTGGTCTCAGCGACAGTTAAATATTTTGGGCAGCTGAAGGCTGCCTTCAGGGCTGTCCGGTTCGGGGCGTGGAATCCCACTCTGCCACACCATCGGACCTGCAGCTTAAGTGCACGCCGCTGTGCGAGGACGGAAGTGGTCGAGAAAGCGGGATGGGAGATGACGCTCTGCAGGCCGTGACAAGTACGACCCCCAACACCTCTGGTATGGCAGCTGGCTCTTCGCTTCCCAAGTTCAGGGGTTTGCTGCAAGTCACTCAGTGCCATCACAAGCGCCAATGGCTTGCGGGGTCAAGTCAGACACGGCATCTTTCTAGTGCTGTCCCACCGAGCATCCAGCCGATACGATGCGGGAAAGCTTGCGCGAATTGCGAGAATGAAATGAGTTTCCGAAAGAGCAGATGGATGGCGGATGCAGAGTCAACGCACCAACGTCTCTGCGGAACTCACAGATTCGGGAAGCGCGACGGCGGGGCCCCATCTGCGGTAGACAATCGAATGCAAACAGAGGTTGTGGCGTGGCCATGCTTGAGCAGCTGAGGGTACGTACGAGTACTTCGGTCCTTCAGAATTGGATGTTGGCGCGATGGGGGCCGGGCCGCTGCGTGCCGAATTTAGGCCATTTTCACAACGCTCCAACGAATGCGCTTAAAACCCACCGACGCGGTCTAGTTTCTTTCGTACGCGACATTCAAATCTGGGGCAGAGCTGATGCGTGGCCCCGGAGTCCCCGTGAGTCTCTATTCCCGGCAAGTCGGATCGCTCAGAAGCATCTCAACTTGGCAAAACCTGATTGGTAAGTCGCTGAGGCGAGTTATCGTGGCTGCCGCACTGTAAACAGCTTGCATTTCGACGCTCACAAATTGCATCCATTGTACACAAGTAATGCAGTGCTGCTCTTGAACTGGCTGGCTTGATATTAATGGGAAACAGGTGGCACGTCCTTACGGCTATTGGTGGCTACATTGCCGTCGCAGTCATTGACCTACTATCTTCAGAAGAGGCATCTTCGGAGCTAATTGATTACTGTCGTGCAGTTGAAGGGCCAAAGTGTTGGAACAGGGAATGGAAACAACAGTCTACTTTTACTTTAGTGGAGCTACCCAACGCATCTGCGACGCGCCGTGCCTCATTTCAATGGTACGGGGGGGCCTTGATGATGGAGGAAAGGTCTCCACATGGCAGGATCCAACAAATAGCTGTGCACAGATAAAGTCACGTGCTTGCTTGTTGTTCCCTCTTCGCTCGCTCGCTTGCTTCGCCTTGCACTTTCCACTTCTGACACGGCAGAGCCCTGCGATGAACCTCGCGCAGCTATCCCTTTATTCAGCAATCCTATTGGACTTACAAGCTGCACCTGACTACAGGGGTCCTTTTCAGCTACTGACGCCTCCCCGCACGAGAAATCCCGCAAAGATGTTGCTGCTCAAGTTGTCAATGATGACAATCGATCGTCGTCCCGACTCATGGATCAGAGGAGAAACCGCCTCGCTGATACCGTCACAACGCACAACAAGGCCAAGGTGTCCCCTTCATAGTCAAGATGGCGCCTCGCTGGTTTGAGAAAGTCGAATCCAAGGCCAAAAGGCTGTTGCAGGTCGCTCCCCAAGAATCCGTCTCGGCTCCTTCACCAACATCTTCGCCGACAGCGTCTCAGCCTGCATCTGAACCAACAACTCAACCAACATTTCAGCCAACGCCTTCTCCACCCACCTCGACCGATTCCGAAACCTCGCCGCTGCCGAGTCTACAAGAGCAACTTTGGAATCAGGCCTACGACGAGCTCAAAGCGAGCGAGCCCAAATTAGTCGAAGCGTACGAGAAGATCCTATCAGTTGGACTTCACCGAAACGACCCGAGCTCTGTTACTTGCGAATCAACGGAAAACGAGATAGAGGGGGCTCGTGAGACAAGATGCCGCCAAATGCAGCAGCTGGTCAAGGCTGGACTGGACCGGACGCAGAAGCAAGCGTCCATCAAACAAGGAATCAATGAAGGCTTGCAAGCAGTGCAAGTCGTAAGGGGGATAGTAGATAAGGCGGTACAGGCCGCACCGGAAGCCGCTATCGCCTGGGTCGGCGTCTGCCTTGGACTAGAGGTATGTGTGATCGGCTTTCTCAACCGAAGAGAGAACGGTGGATGATCCCCCACTGACTGTTGACAGGTCTTTTCGAACCCCGTCACCGAGGCACGCGACAACCGCGAAGGTATCGCCTACGTCCTGTCGAGAATGGAGTGGTACTGGAACCTGGTGTCCCTGCTTCTCGACGAGAACAAGGCCGAACAATCATCCGCAGGACTACGAGTCCAACTAGAGAAGCACATCGTGCAGCTCTACGAGAAGCTCCTCGCGTATCAGATCAAGAGTGTCTGTCTTTACCACCGGAACTGGGCTGCCGTCATCGGAAGGGATCTGCTCAAAATCGACGACTGGGCTGGCCAGCTCAGCGGGATCAAGGAAGCCGAGGCTGCCGTGCAAAGAGACATGGAACAATACAATACCGAAGAGAGCAAGACACAATTTCGGAAACTCACCGATACCGCAACTGCTCTAGAGGAGAATCTCCAAGACATCCATTCAGCCATCCAGGACCAGACACGGCAGCAGGAGAAGAGACACCAGGACGACAGGGAGAAGCAATGCCTGAAAGACCTGCGCGAGACTGACCCCCGCGACGACAAGACGCGCATCCAAGAGACAAAGGGCGGCCTGCTCAGGGACTCTTACCGCTGGATCCTCGACAATGACGACTTCCGGCGGTGGCGTGATGATCCGCAAAGCCAGCTACTCTGGATCAAAGGCGATCCTGGCAAGGGCAAGACAATGCTGCTGTGCGGCATCATCGATGAGCTAGGGAAGGAACCCGACAAACACCTGTCCTACTTCTTCTGCCAGGCCACCGAGACACGACTGAGCAATGCGACGGCCGTGCTGCGCGGTCTGATCTACCTTCTCGTCGACCAACAGCCGTCGCTCATCTCGCATGTTCGGGAGAAGCACGATCATGCGGGTAAGCAGCTTTTTGAGGATGGGAATGCCTGGGAAGCCTTATCTAAGATCCTCACGGCCATGCTTAATGACCCGAGCGTGGATGGTGCGATCCTGATTGTTGATGCCCTCGACGAATGCAAGACAAATCGCCATCAGCTTCTCGACTTCATCACTAAACCGTCCCGCGTCAAGTGGATCGTCTCTAGCCGTAACTGGCCAGACATTGAGGAGAAACTGGACAATGCAAAGCAGAAAGTCAGGCTGCGCCTTGAGTTGAACAAGGACTCAATCTCCAAGGCTGTCAATACCTACATCGGACACAAGGTGAATCGACTGGCAGGTCTTAAGAAATACGACAAGGAAACAAGGGACGCTGTTCAACGTCACTTGGTTGGCAATGCCGATGGCACCTTTCTCTGGGTGGCCTTGGTCTGTCAAGAGCTAGCAGATCCCAAGGTCCGAAAACGGCATACGCCCGACACATTGAAGTCATTCCCCCCAGGTCTTGATCCTCTCTATAAGCGAATGGTGGAACATATCAGCGATTCGAAAGATGCAGATCGTTGCAAAGAGATCCTCGCTCTTGCTTCGGTCGTATACCGACCCATCACCCTAGACGAGTTAAAGGCTCTTGCCCAGTCGCTCGAAGATCTCGACCAGGATGAGTTGGAAGAAATCATCGGTTCCTGTGGTTCTTTTCTGACTCTTCGAAACGGCATCATCTACTTTGTGCATCAATCAGCCAAGGATTTCCTACTCAGCAAGGCATCTGACCAAATTCTTCCTTCAGGCGCCGCGCACCAGCACCATGCCATCTTCTCGAGGTCGCTGGCGGCTTTCTCGCAGACTCTCGAACGTGACGTTTACGAACTGGGTTTCCCAGGATTTCCCATCGATCAGGTCTCGCCGCCCGACCCTGACCCATTGGCTTCGATACGATATTCCTGTGTCTTCTGGGTTGACCATCTCCACGACTCGGATTCTACAGAGATCAACAGTATCCTACGGGATAACGACGATGTCGATGGATTCATCCGAGAAAAGTACCTTTATTGGCTAGAATCTCTTAGCCTCTTGCGCAGCATGTCAGAGGGAGTAAAGGCGGTACACAAGCTCGAGGGTTTAGTGGTGAGTTGCTCTAGGCATATACTAGAAGTGGTCTGACAATTATATAGAGAAACGTGGGAGCGCAGCAACTAACAAAACTACTTCAAGACGCGCGCCGTTTCATCCTTTCCAATAGACGGCCAATCGAGATTGCTCCATTGCAGGCCTATGCGTCCGCACTCGTATTCAGTCCCAAACATAGTCTTATTAGAGAGCTCTATAAGATAGAAGAGCCGGATTGGATGGCATTGAAGCCAAGAATCGAAGCGGATTGGAGCGCGTGCGTGCAGACGCTCGAGGGCCATGGCGATCGGGTGAACTCGGTGGTGTTCACGGCGGACGGCCAGTATCTCGCGTCGGGCTCGGCCGATAGGACAGTTAAGATCTGGGACGCAGCGACGGGCGCGTGCGTGCAGACACTCGAGGGCTATGGCGATCTTGTGTTCTCGGCGGACGGCCAGTATTTCGCGTCGGGCTCGGGGGATGGGACGGTTAAGATCTGGGACACGGCGACGGGCGCGTGCGTGCAGACGCTCAAGGGCCATGGCGATCTAGTGACGTCAGTGGTATTCTCAGCGGACGGCCAGCGTCTCACGTCAGGCTCGGCCGATAAGACGGTTAAGATCTGGGACGCAGCGACGGGCGCGTGCGTGCAGACACTCGAGGGCTATGGCGATCTTGTGTTCTCGGCGGACGGCCAGTATTTCGCGTCGGGCTCGGGGGATGGGACGGTTAAGATCTGGGACACGGCGACGGGCGCGTGCGTGCAGACGCTCAAGGGCCATGGCGATCTAGTGACGTCAGTGGTATTCTCAGCGGACGGCCAGCGTCTCGCGTCGGGCTCATACGACGACACGGTTAAGATCTGGGACGCGGCGACGGGCGCGTGCTTACAGACGCTCGAAGGCCATGGCGATCAGGTGGAGCCGGTGGTATTCTCAGCGGACGTCCAGTATCTCGCGTTGGGCTCATACGACAAGACAATCAAGATCTGCGACGCAACGACGGGTGCGTACGTGCAGACGCTCGAGGGCCATGGCGGTCAGGTGAGGTCGGTGGTATTCTCGGCGGACGGCCAGCGTCTCGCGTCGGGCTCGGCCGATAGGACAGTTAAGATCTGGGACGTGGCGACGGGTGCGTGCGTGCAGACGCTCAAGGGCCATGGCAATGAGGTGAGGTCGGTGGTGTTCTCGGCAGACGGCCAGTATCTCGCGTCGGGCTCGGAGGATAGGACAGTTAAGATCTGGGACGCGGCTATGGGTGCATACATACAGACGCTCGAGGGCCATGGCGATCAGGTGGAGTCGGTGGTATTCTCAGCGGACGGCCAGCGTCTCACGTCAGGCTCGGGGGATGGGACTGTTAAGATCTGGGATGCGGCGACGGGCGCGTGCATACAGACGCTCGAGGACTATAGCGATCCTATGTTCTCGGCGGACGGCCAGTATTTCGCGTCAGGCTCATACGACAACACAATCAAGATCTGGGACGCGGCTACGGGTGCATACATACAGACGCTCGAGGGCCATGGCGGTTCAGTGTGGTCAGTGGTATTCTCGGCAGACGGCCAGCGTCTCGCGTCGGGCTCGGCCGATAGGACAGTTAAGATCTGGGACGTGGCGACGGGTGCGTACGTACAGACGCTCAAGGGCCATGGCGGTCGGGTGAACTCGGTGGTGTTCTCGGCAGACGGCCAGTATCTCGCGTCGGGCTCGGCCGATAGGACAGTTAAGATCTGGGACGTGGCGACGGGCACGTGCATACAGACGCTCAAGGGCCATGGCGATCAGGTGAACTCGGTGGTGTTCTCGGCAGACGGCCAGCGTCTCGCGTCAGGCTCGTGGGATGGGACTGTCAAGACCTGGGACGCGGCGACGGGCGCGTGCGAGCAGACGCTCGAGGGCTATGGCTATAGCTATGGCTATGGCTCTGGCTATCAGGTGAACTCGATGGTGTTCTCGGCAGACGGCCAGTATCTCGCGTCGGCGTCGGACTCCTGGTATGGGACTGTTGAGATCTGCGACGCGGTGACGGGCGCGTGCGTACAGACGCTCGAGGGCCATGGCGGTCGAGTGAACTCGGTGGTATTCTCGGCAGACGGCCAGTATCTCGCGTCGGGCTCGGCCGATAGGACAGTTAAGATCTGGGATGTGGCGACGGGTGCGTGCATACAGACGCTCAAGGGCCATCGCGATCAAGTGAACTCGATGATGTTCTCGGCAGACGGCCTGTATCTCGCGTCAGGCTCATACGACAAGACAATCAAGATCTGGGACGCGGCGACGGGCGCGTGCGTGCAGATACTCGAGGGCTGTGGTGATTGGGTAAAGTCGGTGGTATTCTCAGTAGACGGCCAGTATCTCGCGTCGGGCTCGGATCATGGGACGGTTAAGATCTGGGACACGGCGACGGGCGCGTGCGTGCAGACACTCGAGGGCTATGGCGATCTTGTGTTCTCGGCGGACGGCCAGTATTTCGCGTCGGGCTCGGGGGATGGGACGGTTAAGATCTGGGACACGGCGACGGGCGCGTACGTACAGACGCTCGGGGGCCATGGCGATCAGGTGAGGTCGGTGGTGTTCTCGGCGGACGGCCAGTATCTCGCGTCAGGCTCATACGACAAGACAATCAAGATCTGGGACGCGGCTACGGGCGCATACATACAGACGCTCGAGGGCCATGGCGGTCAGGTGAGGTCGGTGGTATTCTCGGCAGACGGCCAGTGTCTCGCGTCGGGCTCAAAAGACGAGACAATCAAGATCTGGGACGCGGCGACGGGCGCGTGCTTACAGACGCTCGAGGGCCATGGCGGTCAGGTGAGGTCGGTGGTATTCTCGGCGGACGGCCAGCGTCTCGCGTCGGGCTCAGAAGACGAGACAATTAAGATCTGGGACGCGGCGACGGGCGCATGCGTACAGACGCTCGAGGGCCATGGCGATCGGGTGACGTCGGTGGTATTCTCGGCGGACGGCCAGCGTCTCGCGTCGGGCTCGGCCGATAAGACGGTTAAGATCTGGGACGCAGCGACGGGCGCGTGCTTACAGACGCTCGAGGGCTATGGCGGTCTAGGGGAGAGGGTGGCGTTCTCAGCGGACGGCCAATATTTCGCGTCGGGCTCAAAAGACGATACAGTCAAGATCTGGGACGCGGCGACGGGCGCGTGCGTGCAGACACTCGAGGGCTATGGTAGTTGGGTAAAGTCGGTGGTATTCTCGGCGGATAGCCAGCGTCTCACGTTAGGCTCAGTCGATGGGATAATTAAGATCTGGGACGCGGTGACGGGCGCGTGCGAGCAGACGCTCGAGGGCCATGGCGGTCGGGTGAACTCGGTGGTGTTCTCAGCGGATGGCCAGCGTCTCGCGTCAGGCTCGTGGGATGGGACGGTCAAGATCTGGGACGCGGCGACAGGCGCCTGCTTACAGACACTCGACGTTGGGAGCGTACATCAAATTGCATTTGATCCAACGACAAACACTCTCCTCTCTACCGATATTGGACTTCTCAACTTAGATCACCTGGCGCCTGCCATCGATGATCAGTCGACTGAACTAACCTTACGGGGTGTTCGCCATTCTGGTTGGGGTATAAGCACCGACGGTGTATGGATTGTTAAAGATGGAAAGGAGATGCTTTGGCTACCTCCGGACTATCGAGGGGCTAAGGCCGCTATTGTTAGATCAACGGTCGCTATCGGTTGTCGTTCAGGTCGTGTGTCGGTGATGAAATTCTCTTAGACCGGAGGCAGGCAGCGACCTATGAAATTGATTCTGTTTGATTTGGAAGCAGGAGGCCATTTGCTATAGGAAAAAGCTAGCGTCATTTCTTTCTCTTTAATTTTCTTTTCACTTTGATCTCGGAGGGTAATAGGGGTCGAAAATTTTTTATTCAATGGGCTGTGGCGTTCGTTTGGTCAATGCTTTATTTTTATGATAGAGGCTTGTAGCTGCGGATAGATACATCTTGCTTGTTGGATGGCCCCTATTTTCTTGCTGTCCGGCGCGGAGGCCGGCTCGGTATTGGATGTTAGATTGGCGGCTGGGAATTGTTAGATACGCGTGTAGGGTTAATATCCAATTAAAATAGGGTTAATTTTCACACTTGAGGATCAATCTCGTCCCCAGGAGCTCCTGTCTCTGCTCTGTCCTTTTAGGTGTTTTCCCCGCTACCCGGTATTGATATATCCGGGGACCCACAAAATACATGTTTCTTTTATCGAGGCGCTATCACTAATCCAACAGGAATGGGCTCCACTTCCCTTATTGCAATATTATTCTTGTATCCAAAAGAGGGGTGAAACCCCTCTCTGACAGACTGATCAAAGAATCAAGTCGACGATCAAGAACATCACAACATTCTGCTCCACTTGGATACACTCACCCCATCGTATTCGTGCGTATCTAACATTGGATGTACCCACAATTCCTTGCATGACATGCTCGAATTAACTTTTATCTACCTATAAAGACGCGGTTCTTCTCCATGTATCGACTGTGATGCTGTCTTATTGCTGAGGGTACCAATCAACCGTGTCCCTTCAACCTCGCCATTAAAAACTTCAGCAATGCCTAGGAGCCTCCGTTTTGAGAATTTTTTAGCATATGGGTACGTACCTGCACCAGACCTTCCTAGGAAGGAGTTCACGGCCCAACATGCATACAGTCACGTGCGGGATGATGCCCCTCGCCAATCAGGGTGTGATCACGACCAACACCAGAAGTGATCACGTTGATCGCCTCCCTGGATCACCCTGATCAAAACTTTGGAGCAAAGTGATCAGGCACCACGCCTCCAGTATATAGTACACCTGTATTTTCACTCTCTTATGTACCAGCTACCTCAGCTATTAATACAACTTGGTTACACTCAATACCTTTGAGCACATTACCAGACGTGACTTACACCCTGTTCAAGACAACGCCAGAATCACCTCTGCCACCATAAACCCAGCACGACCGGTTTATCACTTGGGAACCTTACGATCGTCACAGGAGTAGTTTATCAGGGTGTTTATTACACCTATCGATATCCTATTCGGCTAAACGAAATAGCATCTACTATCTAGGTACGGACTGCGGTCTCATATATAGAACCGAGGCATACGCCCTCCAGATCACCCGACTAACAACTCCAAGCAATCGTGCACGCAGACGTCCTAGAATATCAAGGAACAATGTATTTTGTAGCGCTCCTTGGCTCGTTTAAGGTATTTCCCACCCATCTCAAAGTCCCCCGACCCTGAAGAGCATGGTGATATCAAGTTCTCCCACGATCCTTGAGTTTCGTACAGTAGTGCACTTGTAGACTCGAGCCGCCTCGTTCGGGGAAACGTTGAACAAAACGCCGACGAATCTCCGCCCACCCAAGCTGCTCCTCTTCCTTCAGTTGTATGAGGAAGCTATCTTCATCGTCTGAATACTTAGCCCGTCCTACAGGGGCTCGCTTGGTTGTTTTCCTTGTCGCGACCGAGCGGGTTGAATCGGGCATCATACCGGCGGCATTTGGGTGATTTGTGCAAAGGGGCCAATCAAACTGGAATTGAAACGTAGTCTTGCCATTTTCGGTAACGCGTTTCATTGAAGCGTTCTCGAGCGGCCATTCCTGAAACCGAGCAAGAACCGCACTGGCCTCGGAGGGAACAGATCTTGCACGCGGTGGTGTTGGACTTGACAAGCCGAGTGCCGATGTGTCGCGCTCCCTCAATGAGTGTGCGGAAGCTCTTGTAGATCGCCTCCTTCGACGAGAATCCCGGGCACTGGTAGCCGCATTGTGTGTCGAACAGGAAGGAGACTTAGAGACTTTGCGACGTTTGTGATCTTGATGTTCTTCATCGTCGACATCATTGTCTTCCGAGCCAGATCCTTGAACCTCTGGAGGCGAAGGACAATAGTCCTCGTCACGCGCATATTCTAGAACATCGGGGCCATCCTCACTGCCGGAGCTTTCAGCACCTGCGTCACTGTCCTCCTCTTGCCCTGTTGTATGCGCATGTGGGGGTCTGCGATAAGAACGGCGCGGGGACGGCAACTGGGGAGATGGCCGGGCCTTGTCCGGCGATCCGAGTCCACCATCCACGGCCTCGGACTCGGGATCGCTGGACCCGCAGCTTGCGTCGCCCAAGTCTTGTCCCCGATGCGGTTCGGGTGACATCCTTGCTGTCAGGGATGGATTGCGGGCTCCAGGGGTGGCATCGTCAGACGAATTGCCGGCGGGTATTTCGCTTTCCTGGAGTGATGCCTGGACCACCTCGACGGGGCTGGCAGTACGCGGAGAGTGTGTGCAAGTTGAGGGGGAATCCGGATGACCCTGGGCGCTATGACAAGCGTCATGGTCAAAGACAGCATCGACCATCATGTTGCTCTGTTGACTGGCTGGTACGGGTCGAAGCTGTTGCCCGCTTGCCGCAACTGGGTATGGCTGGCTTTCAGGGCTAGTAGGAGGCGTTGCAAAATTGACACCTTTACAAGCAGACGTATCTCCAGTGAGTATGTGATTCATCTCACAAGAAGATTGCTGGCTCGGTTCAGCATCAGCGAGGTGAGACGCTTGTATCTCATTCGGCCAAGCTGGGGCGACTTCCGCTTGAGCTGGGGGTACTATTGGCGCAATGACTACGCTAATGGCAGCTTCTGATTCAGTTGTGCCATGTTCGGTGCTGGTGAGATCTAGACGCCCGTTGTCAGAAACTTCCACCTAAACGGAGCATCACGGCGTCGAAGACCTACCCAGATAGTCCGGGGTGCTGACACGTGTTGCGTAAGGTTGCAGGTTGTTGAGTTCTCGACCCTTGTCATTTTCATCTTCAGTATCAGACTCGACATCAGAGGGAATGCAAATCGCTGTGTCGCTGGATTTTCCAATAGCTAAGAGGGCCTCCTTCTGCAAAGATACCGTGTCTGGCTGAGAGGCAGGAGGGGTGAGGTTTTGCCGCAGCTTCCGCTGTTCAGAGTCAAAAGTCGCCGAGGCCATGCTTGTGTTGCAGAGTGCGGAGAGGAAAAGAGAAAGGGGGTTTGGTGTTCGCAGTGCAGCCAGGTGAAGATGGGCGGGCATTGTCCGGCTTATATGCTCGCTGCTGAACCATGCGGCAACATGAGTCCTGATCGCTTGCGGGCGCCCAGCTCGATGTCTCCCTGCTGCCTCCTTGTGTTCTCCAAGATGGTGATGGATCGGATGCAGACACGTAACCGCTTCTCCTTCGTCCCAATCATTTCGCTGCCGGGCCACACCAAGGCAGCTATGCTGAACACATGATGCCCCCCTCGATTCAGCTTGCCGCACATCGTCAGGGATTCGCGCCACTCGTTGGCAAGGCAGAGTCCTCGGGGAGATACCAGATGAGGCAGGTCTTCATGCCTGTTGGGCTGTTCACGCACGACGCGTCATTTCCAAGCGGTCACATAGCATCGGGTAGAAAGTTCCCGGCAGCATTAGCTCTTCCGTCTGACCGTGATGGAGCTCAACGCCGCGCCAGCGCATTTTGGTCGTCCACAGCCACGAACTTGTTGAGCCATTCAGAGGATGGGAGAGCACCAGATGCCGTCACAAACGCCTCATGAACACGCAGCAGTGAGACAAACGGGGCTGACATGTGTGCAACACCAACAACTCGCCGAAATGCGCCCGTCCCCGTCCGCATCCCCGTCCCCTCGTCCCCCAATCATCCCTCTCAGTTCGCTGGCCTGCTCTCGATTTCGAAGCCGCTGAGCTATCGCGAGCGGCGCCGGGCCGAGGGATCGTTCCCCCAAGCGGCAGGAAGTCTCGGCAACCCCTGAGCAGAGAAATGGTGACTCGGACCCCGCCAAGCGAGTTGTGGCCTCACTCTCCGCCCGGATCAGGGGACCAATCGAGGAGCAAGGTCGTGTCGGAAGCCTCCGTAGCCACCTGTGCCAGTTTCAGGAGGCGAGCCCGAGATGGCAATCCTCCATCATGCAGCAGGGTGCATTGATAAGCTACTGCGGCATTTCTGCCATTGGATGGGCGTCGACTGGAGGCCTCACAAGGGAAAACATTGCCGTGAGATGCTCTGCTACTGCCTGAGAAGCATCACACCACTGTTCGGCGGCCCAACTTGGGGAACGCTCTCTAGACTGTTGGCGTTGTTAAATTCTGAGAGAAGAGGACGGGACAGGAAGCCGTACGAGACACAGAGTAGAGTTAGTCATAACATTAGAGGATAGAATGGAAAGCGAATACTAGAATATGTCTCATTCCCTCCACAATCAGGCGTTGGGGGCGATGCAAGCGTCGCGATAGTCGGTCAATCCCTCTGGCGAGAGAAGTTCGTTCCAAATCAGAACGATGACGTGGCAGGATGGGCGAAGGGAGCTGGGCTGAAGATAACGATGCTTGCAGAAGAGTGAGAATGGCGGATGCAAGCGGACAGAGCATGGGAAGAAGGAGAGGTCAAAGATACATGTTGCCAGGGTAGGAGGAGGTTCTTGTATTATATATAGAGAGTCACGTGATATGCGGTCGGGCGGGTGTGCAGCACGCGCGCCTTGCCCGTTTGGGCGGCGTCGCTAAACCGGAGGCAGCAGCAGCGCATCCGCGTTTACTTTATAAACTTCTAATCTTATAATTTTATTTAGTTTATTACTAATTTTACCTTATATTATATTAGTTATTAATTTAAGTAATAAAACATAAAAGACTAAATAAAGCCTAACCTTTAGTAGTAAGTCTAATTTATAATTATTTTCTAAAATTTTCTTAATAATTTTATATAATTTAATATATTTATAATCTAGTTTATAGCTTAGTTAATTTGTTTTAATGTTTTTTATAGCTAGGTAGATTATATCTTCTTTTAAAAAGGTTAGTCCCTTTAACTGTTTTAGGTTATAGTGGTTTTTTTTATATTTTCTAATAAATTCGAGTTCTATTTTTATTTCTTTATATAGGTTTTTAAGGTTATTACTTTTAAATATAGTAGCTAGGTTAACTAATTTTTCTTATTATATATTATAATAAGTATCTAATATATATTTAAAGTTTATATAAGCTAGTATATAGTTAATACTTTTATTATATATAGTATTATACATAAGTTAGGCTATTAGTAGTTTTTTAACTTAATTATTTTATTTATAATTAATATAATATTATAAATACTATTTAAGTATTTAATTTATTTATTTAATTTATTTATTAGCTTGTAGTTAAAATGTAGTTATAAGTTAATAATTTAGTTTAAGTTATATTATAAGTAATTATTAAAAGTTTAATATAAATATACGTCTTTTATTAAATAGAATTTTTATAGGTAATCTATATATATTAATAATATATTAATTAAAAATATAAGAAAGTTTTTTTATATTTATAGCTTTTTTATAAGGTAGGTAGTAAGAGAATTTTATAGATTAATTAATTATAATTATAATACTATTATAAAAGATTCCTATTAAGGGTTTTTCTAATAAGGGTAACTTAGTTATAAAATCTATTATAATTAAACTTTATAATCCTCTTAGTATTAGTAGTAATTATAACTATTTATAAGGTTTATATCTTTAAGCTTTTATTTTTAAGTAAAGGTTATATTATTAAATAACTTCTTTTATTATTTCCTTTATTCCCTTTATATTACAGCCTAAAAACAACCCTAAACTAACTAAGTTAAGACTAAAAGTAATATATCTTTAAAGCCTTTTATATTATATACCTTTATATTTTTATAACCTTATTATAAAACTTACCATTTTTATATACCAGACCTACCTAAACCTAGGTTTAAGTATTTATATACCCTCTCTCTTTTAAAACTTTTACTAATCTATCTCTTAAACCTAAGTTTAATTATCTATATATGCCTTACTCTCTCTAAACTTTTAAGCCCTTTAGTTCCTCTTCTTACTAATTATTTACCCTCTTATAACTTCTACTAATACTTTATTTACTTATTTCTTAATAATATCTAATTATTATTTAATAATTTATATATCTGCCCTATCTTTTTTCTTATTTACCCCTTACTTTACCTTTATTAATTATATTTCTAATCCCTATATTTCTGTTTATTTTATATAATAATTATTATATTAAAAATTATTATTATCTTTATTTTCTTTTTTTCCTCGTTTTTAACTTTTACTTCTTACCCTTTTTCTTATTACTTATAAAGTAAAATAAAATAGAAATTATAATCTATTATTATTATTATTATAATTAAAATTAAATACCCTTTTCTTCCTAATTCTAATACCTATACCTAGCCCTTTAAGTAATTAAAATCTACCCTTACCTATCCCTAATATAATCCTTATTAATCTACCTCTCCCTCCTTAATCCTAGCTATTAATAATACCCTAGCCTAATCTCTAATATCCCTATTATTACTATTACTTTCTAAGCTTATTAAGTTACTAAAGCCTTTCTTATAAACCTTTATTAAAATTAATTCTTTAAGGAAATAAGTAAAGCCTTACTGCCTTATTATTATTAAGCTACCTATCTATCTCTTTAACTTCTCTTAGTTTTATAGTAATAATAGGCCCCTTAATTATACTTATATTACCAATCTTTATTACTTTTTTTTTAAAATAATAGCCTTACTTATTAGGCTACGAAGTATTATATTTAGGTATTTTATAATATTATTATTACTAATAAGATAATAATAATAATTAATATTATTTTAAATATTAATTAAAGTACTATTTAAAACTAATATTAATATTTACTATTTTTTAAAAACTAAGCTAATTTTAATAATAAAAGGCCTAAGCTTATAATTAGCTAGTATTATATTAAGGCCTTAAAATTATATAAAATAAATAACTTTTAATTTAAGTAATTTATAATAAATTTATAAATTTTATAATAAAAATATAAATCCTTTTTTATTAAGTCCTTATATTATAATTTATTTTATTAATTTTATTTCCTTATTTACTATAAAATAGGCCCTAATACTAACCTTTTTATCCTGTAAACAGATACCCTCCTAGTTAAACTTAACATTAAGCTTTATATTAACTATTACGGCCTCGCCCTACCTAACACCTATAGTCAGATCTAGTTACAGCTTATCTCCGCCTTTAACCAGGATCTTACTTTATTTTCTACTAAGTAAAATAGTAATAAGAAAGGTATTAAGAAAAGGATATTAAATATCCTATACTTAATAAATAAAGCTTGCTTTCTTATTAGCTATCTAATTATACTTTAAAAAAATAAATAGTAAAAACCTTAAATTACCTGTTAGTATTAAACCTCTTTAAAAAAAAGCTATATTTAATATTTTAAAATAATATTAAATTATAAGTTATAAACTAGATAATATAAATAACTCCTTAAGTACTTATATAAATTTAATAATAAAACTATTATTTTATAATAATATTTATTTAGTAAAATAAATATTAAATATAATAATAATAATATTATATTATTACCTTTTATATATAATATATAGCTAACTTAAAATATATTATTATCTTATATAAGTAGTATTAATTTAATATATTTTATTAAATACTTAAGACTTTAAAGGCACTTCCTGCTTTAGCCCTTAACTTTATTAAGATTTTAAATTAAACTATACTAGCTTATAGTTTTAAAAGTAATACTTATAATACTATAAATATTTACTAGGTTTTTTATTTTAAGGAGGAAAGTAATAATAATAGTAATAATAACCCTACCTTATTAGCTCCCTTTATTACTAAACTAGCCTAAAAGACTTTTTAATAAAGTAAATTCTTAAGCTTACTTAATAAAAAAGCCTATTTTAGCTGCAAGGCAGATACAGGTCTAAATTCAATAGAAAACATATATAAATTAAAACCATGCTAATAAAGACAGGGACCTAAATCCATTGCCCCTAACGGATTTAGGTTGCTATTATTAAAAGTTAGAAAAAATAATATTTAAGATAATACATTAATTTGCAATTACTAGTATATATTACATTTTAAATTTTAACTATAGAAACCAAGTATTGCAATATTGCAATTAATTTGAAATTT